GCAGGGTGTCTATGCAGGATAAAAAAGTAGCGTCTCCCGGCCCAGATCCCGTGCTTCCATCCAGAATAATTGCTTTTACAGCCCTCATAGTACTTTCTGAGGGTTACGTATGTAGAGAAAGCCCATTGTTTGTATGTGTCCCACACAGGAGGTTGGTGGCACCTTAATTAATTGGGGAGGATGGGCTCGTGGTAATGTCTGGAGCGGAATCAGTGGAATGGTATCAAATACATCAAACACACAGTTTCAATGTGTTTGATGCCATTCCATTTGATGCCATTCCATATGTTTGATGTGTTTGATGCCATTCCATTTGATGCCATTCAATATGTTTGATGTGTTTGATGCCATTCCATTTGATGCCATTAAATATGTTTGATGTGTTTGATGCCGTACCATTTATTCCATTCCAGCCATTACAATAAGCCAGTCCTCCTAAAGCTCCTCCCACCAGCCTCCTCTGGTGTCTGGATGACACTAATCTAATCTGTCTCTCTGTTTTCACTACCTCTCAAAAGCCCATAGGTCTGTGGCCCCAGGGCAACTTCTCCAGCTACAAACAAAAATGCAATGTATAGGGTTATGCAATGCGGTTACGTGAACCATAAAAACATAATTCATTTTACTATGTTTTTGTAAATGATAAGATAAGGAACTTTTGAAATCTATGTATCTCTGATCTCATCCAGTATCTCAAAATAATGGAGTTACACTCAGGTTTTATTTGTACAATTCCGTCATCGCTGGAGGAGTATTGTTGTCTATCCAGTCATGCAGTCTTAACATGTTAACCTTTTATAACACTTGAATGTCTCTGAGATTGGTTCAACTGCTTTCGCAACATAAAGTGTTTTGCAATACGCTAATTGAACAACGATGACTTGCAAAAATAGTCAAAGGTGAGGAAGGAAATGCAAGCCACAAAATCCTCTTAGTAATTGCACCATGTTCAGTCATGTTCAGACTGCAGTATGGATGTCTGTCTGCTCTGCTTTCTAAATCAGACCTGCCACACAGAGGTTCATTAATTCATTCCAAATCAGGAGACCCTGTATAGGCTAACAAACTGAAAACAATTAATGGTGACAAATGGTACCTCACACAGTTATATACAGTATAATACATACAGTATATAGATATAATATACCATTATTGTCAGAGCAACAAAGACCTGAGTATGTACACCTGCGTGTGTCCAAGACCTGAAAGAGAAGACTGTCAGATCTAACTACAGACAGATCTGTGATGGCTGTTCGCACTGTTCTGTCCTGTCAATCAAATCAACAGATCATAGCGTGTCACTGATATAAAAAGGGAAAAGGGCCACTCACAATCAATTTGTTACGTCTTGCTGACAAACCTGTAAAGCTTGTTGCATAAGAGTCCATGTGAGGCTGCCCTATGGGAATGCATGGGATGTCAGAGGGAGTGAAGGCGAGAGTGTTGGTTGGGTATCTTTTCGGCCAATTGGGGAATGGTGAAATTGGTGAGGTTCTGTGGAGAGGCCGTAACAGACATGGGAATGTGGGAATGTGTCCTGTTCTCCTCTCACAACAGCAGTCACATGCAGAGAATGTGTGTGTGGGGAGGGGGGGATTCAGCAAGCGAGGGGCATGAGTCCAAAGGGGGGTGGCCTTGTTCCACCAATAGCATCACAGGGACCACTCCCCCTGAAAAGGGGATTTATGTAACAGCAACAAAGACTAGCCAGGCATGTGGTCCTGGGATAAAGTTTACATATTCTCATGCATTGCTGAAAACAATGAATTAATCGGCCACAAATGGTGGGAATCAGCAGTTTGTCCACTCGATTGTTAGTTCTAATCCCCCTTTTGATTTTTCTTTGGATGGGATTGTTGAGTCCCTTAGGAACAAGTTGTACCACAGCTCTAGGAAAAAACATTATTTAGTTAGTTCTTTAATTTAATCTCTAAAAAGAGTTGTATAGAGGACTCTAGTGCCCAAAAACCTATTTTAGCATTGACAGTGCCACTGAAGACTTTCACAATTTTTAAGTAGTCAACTGAATGGGACTTCCTATGGGTTAGGGAAGGATCACATAATTCCATCCAGGTCATCAGGAGGGATCAACCAATGAATTATACTTGTGAGCAAACATTCCATAACTGCAGGTGGCAGTAAATTGGCAACCTTGGCTTTATACATGTTCAAACAACACACTCCAAGTGGCAGCATGCACCCTTTCAGTTCGTTTACCAATTTATAGAAGTAGTAGAAAAAAATGGACTACTTCAAAATGGAAATGGCCTCAATGGCGCTGTCGTGCGCTCACAGACGCCATAATGGGACAGATACAATGTTGCGATCTCTATACAACTCTATAACCTTGCAGTAGTGTACTAGTGTCAGTAGGCCTGTGTTATGAACGGAGGTTAGCCATGTGACTCCTTAGGGTTGCAGGATACTATCACTGTGGTTCAATGGCTGACTCTGGTTACACGTAAGGTTGGACGACTTAACCATGCTCGTCAATTTTTCTAAAATAAGGAGCCAAAAAAGTTTTCCAAAATAAGGTACATTGCGGTGCAATACTTTTAAAAGTTATTTGATAGGTCTGAAAGTGTTGAGGCCATTGAACCCAAATGGATGTGTAAACCTAGTCTAAACAGGTTCACTCCTGTCATTGCTGAAAGAGAAATCATAACAGTATAAATACGGGAATGGTGTAAGAGCATCATGAAGGAGAATAGATGGAAAAATACAAGTGGGTAAAGGTCTCTGTGGATCAATTTTGTTGTATTGAACATCAAACTGGAACATTTCTGTGCCCTGTCTAAGTAAAAATGGTAGATGCTTCCCCCTAGTGACAAATAGTAACATTACATTGCCCCTAGAGAGAAGTGAGTTATTTTCCCATTATACAGGCCTGTGCTTTCTGTTCACTCCATGACATGCGCTAGTCTAATCTGGCCATATAATTTAGGATTGCATGAAGCACATCATCTGGAATTTCAACCATGACAATGACCTTATCCCCCACACTAATGGTACAGCCCTCACCATGCATCACCCAAGCCGTAAATTAAAACATTGAGACGGAGGAGGATAGAGTAACGTACGGCCTCGGTCACCTTTAACACATTCATCTGCATACAGTGAACATCCAACCACTTTTTGGAAATAAATATACAATAAACACTTTTGGAAAATAACTATATTTAATATATATAATGCTGAAACAATAAGGACCTCTCCAGAAAATGACAGTATAAAAAAATAAGACTCTTAGAACATACAGGCCAATCAAAAATAAATTAGAATACAGAGAAGTCATGACCACGGCCGGCACATTTTTTACACAAACAAGAAACTGCTACGACCAATTGATTTGCTCTCCAGCCTTAGTCATATTGATTTATCACAAAACACAACCATATCGCTTCAGTCACAGTAACCTCAAATGTAACCCTGCAGATAGCATATCAAAATGGTCGCTTTTTCATGAAAACCCCCCAAAAATATAACTGCAATGACATCCCATTCACAGCACTTTGCAAAACAAATGTGACACAGGAGGTTGGTGGCACCTTAATTGGGGAGGACAGGCATGTGGTAATGGCTGGAGCGGAATAGGTGGAATGGTATCAAATACATCAATCACATGGTTTCCATGTGTTTGATGCCATTCCATTCGCGCCGTTCCAGCCATTATTATGAGCCGTCCTCCCCTCAGCAGCCTCCACTGGATTTAAACCACATCCATATAAACTAAAAGTACATTATGTAAACACAGCAAACGCATCACACTTTCTATGGGGCAGAGGATGTCACTGTGTGGTTAAAAACAAACATTCACAGGGGTGGCGTCACAGTTTCTGGGGCCTCATTTATTAACCGTGCATAAATGTCGAACTAAATTCTGGCGTACGTGGAGATTCTAGGATTTACGTGCAAACAAATGATTGGGATCTATCAAACTGTCGCACACAACATATATGCATGTTTTCATTGGTAAATCAGAGCCATACTATATTTGTGCGTGAACTAACGCTACAACTCCGCCTGGAAAATGCCCTCCATTCACCTTTTATGGTAACAACAACGCCCTCATTTGCTGTATGATTTGGAGATGTTGGAACTGGGCCATGATATTTGCTAAAGGAAAGCGCAATGGCAAATGTGATCACATTTCTGTAGAGGTATGGGCAGAATGTTTTAATTTTTTGCAGTGACTTAATTAAAACAAAAAATGCATGCCGCCTATAGCGAGTGCCAAACACTGGCTACACATTCTACAACATTGATTGTCTATTGAACAAATTCAAAGTAAATGCTGCCTACAGTCCACATGTCTACGCAAAATATGAATTGTTGTTAAATATTTTGTTTATCAATACATGATTGTGTGTCTATCTCCTGCCTTTGAGATTAAACAGGCTATTATGTTGTGCTCCTATCGTACAGCAATACTGTAGCCTAACCATACTACCGGTCTACTAAGTGTCTCAAGGTCGAGGAACAACAAATGCGTGCCCCTTGAGAGACAGGGGGCGGGGCTAGGGCTGTGTGGAAAGCAGCATGGAGAGAGAGAGCAGATAGAGATGACTCAAGTAGCGAACTAAACTATAAAAATGGACGTTACACACAGCGTTTCACATTTAACTCTGTCCTTTGGAGCAGGTTGACAGCCAATGGTCCATTCAACCACAAGACAACACCAGTTTCACAGGGCCCCTACAGACATGACCCAGGGTCAGAGATGCCAGCCCAATACAGGAGATATGAGGACGGCTCCATTTTTACCCTTCTGTAAGTCAGTCTTTTCACCATGGTTGTACACTAGCACAGAGGGGACAGCGCGGCTGTGTGATGTCACTCAGATCCTGGTTAACCGTCCCTCAGAATGTGAGTCCAGAGTAGACCTCTGCTACTAGTATTCATTACATACAGGAAGAGGGTTGGCTGGAGGGTAAACAAAGGCCTCTGGCTCCTCCTCACCCCTCTCTCTCATCACTGTCTGTTAACTTAATTCTCTTCCTTCAGCGTTTGTCCAGACGTTTATCCATTTCCTTTCGAACCCGGGCCTGCAGTGTCACCCTCATGGCTGAGTCCAGAACATTCTCCTCTGCTACGCGCTCCACCACCCTCTCTGGCTTGTCCTCCTAAGAGACAGGAAACAGGGGTCACGAGGGCACATTGTTCTGCATGCAACAGGATGAGCACCATCATAACTATATAGACACTAGACAGACAGACCTTGTGTACAATGAAGGAGGTGACACGGCCAGAGTCAGCCTGGTAGTCCAGCCAGAAGAGTTCAGTTCCATGGGTCTCTGGCTCTGTACTCGACCCACTCTCATTCCCCTCTTCAGTCTCTGCACCCCCTCCTGGCTCAGATCCATCTGGAGACACATACATAAATACACATCACCACTAAACTGAGTCTTACATCAAGTTGACAGAAGAGTTCATACTAGCAGCAGTGTTTTCTTACTTCCGCGTCGAGGATGGTACACTTGGATATCTGGCCGGCGGGGCCGTCGGGGGGTAGTGGTGAGCCTGGTCCTCTGACGCTCATTGGCCTGCTTTACCTGCTTATCATAGTCATCTCTGCAAGACATCAAAGTGATAAGTCAGTGTCTGAATCTTGCAGTAAGAGAGACATTATTTATATAAATTAGAGAGTAAGAAGGCCATTTAATTCAAACCATTGGAATGATTGTGAGTGTCCAACTTCTAACAATATCCATGATGAGTGAGCTGTGATGGGTGTAGTTTGTACACAGCAGACAGCAATATCTGTCAATGGTATTGATACTCTGAAGAGTCCCCTTTAGCTCAGTTGGTAGAGCATGGCGCTTGCAACGCCAGGGTTGTGGGTTCGTTTCCGACGGGGGCCAGTATGAAAATGTATGCACTCACTAACTGTAAGTCGCTCTGGATAACAGCGTTTGCTAAATGACTAAAATGTAAAATGTAAGAGGGGCAGTTCTCTGTTAGACGTTGTGCGCATGCCCAGTAGAGGTTGGAATGAGTAGGCGTACTAGCGATGAATTTCAACATTATCAAGAAAACCCTCGAAACTGAACGCTCTCAGAATTGATTACATTGACAAAATAGATAGACAAATATACACCCCGCACGGCATGTTAGCTCAGATTAGTGATTCACCTGGCAATCTGGTTCCTTCGAATGTGGTATAAGAAACCATGGCTCATGTCCAAACGACCCGTACGTTTATATTTGAGCGCTTGTTCTTCATCATCCCGCAAAATCTCCATCGTGAGAGATGATGGACAATGTATTTAGTATTTAAAATGGAACATTATTACTTCTTTATATGCACAACACCATCAACTGCATCATAACGTTAATCAATCTTTCTAAGGGCTTCCACTAGTTACCACAGCCACTAAGTCAACCTTGGCTATCGTAAAAATTCATTAAAACAAAAACGTACCTTTTGGTCTTAATTTAAGGTTAGGCATGAGGTTATCATTGTGGTTAAGGTTTTAAAATCACATTTTAAGAAAAGAAATAGTAGAAATGGGCGGGGTTTATGACTTTGTGACTGTGGTAACTAGTGACGAACCTTTCAAAGTGGTCTGGGCTACTGTCTAACTAGAATTGCACACGGAGTTACGAGCCTGTCCATAATCTATTTTTAGGATAAAGTTTCTACCCCTGCAAATGATACTTTTCTCACATTTTTAATCTTCATGAATTATTTTCTTTTTAAATTGTTTAAAAGCTGCGTTGCTCTTTAGAGGCCCAAATAAAAATGGCCAACACTATTTAATCTCAACCGTTCTGTTTTTGCCAGAGTAAATGTGAAAACACGGGGTTAAATTCTGGTTGGCCATCTTGATATTGAAACCGGGAGTTTTGGATGTGTGCACTGCTCTTCGTTTGGGGAGCTTAGCTAGCTACTAGCAAAATCAACTCACCCCTGGCTTTAGTAATATTATCTCTATTTTTCCCCATACGCATCAAAGATTAACACGATGGTCTTTGTAAAACGGGAGAGAGAAGTTGACTTGGAAAACGATGAAGGTAACTAACGTTAACGATTTGAAACTAACGCTAGCTAGTGACAAGCTAGCGTTTATTTCCAAGCGTATATGTTAATATTTGCTAGCCAAGTTAGCTAGTTAACCTAAATAACATTGTCGGTAGGTAGCTAGTTCTAGTTGACTAATGTATTGTTAACTAGCTAAGATCCCAGCTTCAAAAGTGTCCGTCTAGTTTTGCCAGAAGATACCGACCCTACTGTTACGCTTGTTTACACTGAGCTACACTGGGGTCGGAACGCAACACATTAAGACACTACTTCTAATTATTCTATGTTATATTGGCGATCGCACAATTTAATGAAACGGGATTCCCAAAAAACGGAAAAAATAAATAAACTAAACTACTTTTCAGTTAAATTAAATAGATCTGATCCCAACACAAGCTCAAGGGGAACCTGGGAGGGCGGGTCTTCCGGTGCCAGTATCCCTTGCAAGTCTTCAGATGTAAAATAATTTAGTCCCAAAAACATTTATACCGCAGCCACAATAATGTCCAGACTTCTTTGAGACCTGTGCCATACAGTTTAACTGTGGCAATGAACACCACAAAATCCACCCTTTTAACACACAGGGTATCTTTTGACTGGCAGCAAACATTTACTACAGGCTGTGGTGCGTCCACTACCATATCTTCGCTAGCATCACTTGTTTTCTCAATTATTTTAATCGCCTCAGCTCTAACTTTTGCCACCTAATCTCCTTCACCCTTACAGGGCACTCCAGGAACTCGGGATCAACACCGTCATCTGTTCTTCAGTATACTCTGTCAGGACCGACGGACTTCCATATTTTTCTCCATTCACCCAGCAGGTCAGACAACCACACCAGGAATTCTCTTCAGGTATTCTACCTGAACATCCGTCGTCACCCCTGAGATGACTCCTTTGATGGGTGCTCTACTCCGAAGTTCAAAACAAAACTTCTGTTGTCCGGATTCTTTTGAGCCTCAGTGCAATCTTCCTCTGTTCTAAAGAAATACAATGAACAAAATAAGACCACTCCTGGTCACTCTGACAGACTCTACTTTTCCCAGCGCATACTTCACCATATTCAACACCTCAAACGGGTCTCCCACATATGTATAATTGTTTACAATGGAGGAGGAGTACCAAGATGGCTGCGCTGTGGCATCAATACAGCGTCCCCTGTCCGTCATCCAGGGTTTATACACATCATAGGTTGGAAAACGTACCTCAATGCAGGGCTGGGATATGCCACTGAACTCCAAATTGTACCTTTATCCACACTGCTTTTTATTTTTTATTTTTTATTTCACCTTTATTTAACCAGGTAAGCCAGTTGAGAACAAGTTCTCATTTACAACTGCGACCTGGCCAAGAAAGCAAAGCAGTGCGATTAAAAACAACAACACAGTTACACATGGGATAAAACAAAACATACAGTCAATAACACAATAGAAAATCTATATACAGTGTGTGCAAATGTAGTAAGTTATGGAGGTAAGGCAATGAATAGGCCATAGTGCAAAATAATTACAATTTAGTATTAACACTGGAGTGATAGATGTGCAGAAGAAGATGTGCAAATAGAGATACTGGGGTGCAAAATAAATAACAATATGGGGATGAGGTAGTTGGGTGGGCTAATTACAGATGGGCTGTGTACAGGTGGAGTGATCGGTAAGCTGCTCTGACAATCGATGCTTGAAGTTAGTGAGGGAGATAAGAGTCTCCAGCTTCAGAGATTTTTGCAGTTTGTTCCAGTCATTAGCAGCAGAGAACTGGAAGGAATGGCGGCCAAAGGAGGTGTTGGCTTTGGGGATGACCAGTGAGATATACCTGCTGGAGTGCATACTACGGGTGGGTGTTGCTATGGTGACCAATGAGCTAAGATAAGGCGGGGATTTGCCTAGCAGTGATTTATAGATGACCTGGAGCCAGTGGGTTTGGCGATGAATATGTAGTGAGGGCCAGCTAACGAGAGCGTACAGGTCACAATGGTGGGTAGTATATGGGGCTTTGGTGACAAAACGGATGGCACTGTGATAGACTACATCCAATTTGCTGAGTAGAGTGTTGGAGGCTATTTTCTAAATAACATCGCCGAAGTCAAGGATCGGTAGGATAGTCCGTTTTACGAGGGCATGTTTAGCAGCATGAGTGAAGGAGGCTTTGCTGCGAAATAGGAAGCCGATTCTAGATTTAACTTTGGATTGGAGATGCTTAATGTGAGTCTGGAAGGAGAGTTTACGGTCTAACCAGACACCTAGGTATTTGTAGTTGTCCACATATTCTAAGTCAGACCCGCCGAGAGTAGTGATTCTAGTCGGGCAAGCAACGTTCGATTGAAGAGCATGCATTTAGTTTTACTAGCGTTTTAAGAGCAGTTGGAGGCTACGGAAGGAGTGTTGTATGGCATTGAAGCTCGTTTGGAGGTTTGTTAACACAGTGTCCAATGAAGGGCCAGATGTATACAAAATGGTGTCGTCTGCGTAGAGGTGGATCTGAGAGTCACCAGCAGCAAGAGCGACATCATTGATATACACAGAGAATAGAGGCGGCCCGAGAATTGAACCCTGTGGCACCCCCATAGAGACTGCCAGAGGTCCAAACAACAGGCCCTCCGATTTGACACATTGAACTCTATCTGAGAAGTAGTTGGTGAACCAGGCGAGGCAGTCATTTGAGAAACCAAGGCTATTTAGTCTGCCAATAAGAATGCGGTGATTGACAGAGTCGAAAGCCTTGGCCAGGTCGATGAAGAATGCTGCACAGTACTGTCTTTTATCGATCGCGGTTATAATATCGTTTAGGACCTTTAGCGTGGCTGAGGTGCACCCATGACCAGCTTGGAAACCAGATTGCATAGCGGATAAGGTACGGTGGGATTAGAAATGGACGGTGATCTGTTTGTTAACATGGTTTCACAGAGAAGATTGAAATACTGCTAGTTTCCCCTTGAAATTGTCATTTTCGTCCTCATGCTAGCTACCAGTGGCCACCACAGCCATTTTGGAATGGCAGTGTCATTGAGGTACATTTTCCAACTCGTGTCTCGCGCCGGCTCCACGGTGTCTTAATGTAACCATGACTGCATTCCGAACCCAGTGCATCTCAAGTGCAACGGTAGAGGAGGTATCTTCTGGCAACTTCTAGCTAAGTTAGTGTTAGCCAGAGGCTTTTTGTAAACAGAAAGCTCTGGCGTAATGTAGCTACTGTTAGCTAGATAGCTACGATTGTTGTCATTGCTAGGCATCAAATTAGCTAGCTACACTGAATTATTTGTTGTCATGTTCTTTGTCTTATAGCTACAGTGCCTGTGAAAATAGGCTGTTCATCCGAGGACCGCAGAAGTCGCCACTGTCCCTACCTCGACACAATCAATAGGTAACGTGTACAAGAACAGGCATTTCTTGAATGTGTAATATTTGTGTCACTCACCTCTAATACCTTTGTCTTCAGGAGTGTGCTGGACTTTGATTTTGAGAAGCTGTGCTCCATCTCGCTCTCCCACATCAACGTCTATGCCTGTCTCATCTGTGGGAAATACTTCCAAGGTAAAGTATCCAATACTTCAAGATTAACATTGTTACTTGCCTCCCTACCTGAGAAGTGTTCAGAAATGATTTGACCTAAACTAATGTGTGTGTGTGTCTCAGTGTGCAGCTCACCCACCATGTGTTCCTCAATCTGCACACACTCAAGTTCTACTGTCTGCCAGATAACTATGAGATCATTGACTCATCCTGGAAGACATCACGTTGAGTCCACATAGATGGGTTTGCACACATTAACCCTGTAATAAGAAATACCATATCAATCAAATGTATTTATTAAGCCCTTTTTACATCGGCATATGTCACAAAGTGCTATACAGAAAGTCCTGAGGCATGGTCCTCCGGGAGGGGAGAGAGAGAGAGAGAGAGAGAATTAGAGGGAGCATACTTAAATCCACACAGGACACCAGATAAGACAGGAGAATTTTCACCAGATATACAGTGAGGGAAAAAAGTATTTGATCCCCTGCTGATTTTGTACGTTTGCCCACTGACAAAGAAATGATCAGTCTATAATTTTTATGGTAGGTTTATTTGAACAATGAGAGACAGAATAACAACAAAAAAATCCAGAAAAACGCATGTAAAAAATGTTATAAATTGATTTGCATTTTAATGAGGGAAATAAGTATTTGACCCCCTCTCAATCAGAAAGATTTCTGGCTCCCATGTGTCTTTTATACAGGTAACGAGCTGAGATTAGGAGCACACTCTTAAAGGGAGTGCTCCTAATCTCAGTTTGTTACCTGTATAAAAGACACCTGTCCACAGAAGCAATCAATCAATCAGATTCCAAACTCTCCACCATGGGCAAGACCAAAGAGCTCTCCAAGGATGTCAGGGACAAGATTGTAGACCTACACAATAGTAATAATAATAATATGCCATTTAGCAGACGCTTTTATCCAAAGCGACTTACAGTCATGCGTGCATACATTTTTTGTGTATGGGTGGTCCCGGGGATCGAACCCACTACCTTGGCGTTACAAGCGCCGTGCTCTACCAGCTGAGCTACAGAGGACCACGCAAGGCTGGAATGTGCTACAAGACCATCGCCAAGCAGCTTGGTGAGAATGTGACAACAGTTGGTGCGATTATTCGCAAATGGAAGAAACACAAAATAACTGTCAATATCCTTCGGCCTGGGGCTCCATGCAAGATCTCACCTCGTGGAGTTGCAATGATCATGAGAACGTTGAGGAATCAGCCCAGAACTACACGGGAGGATCTTGTTAATGATCTCAAGGCAGCTGGGACCATAGTCACCAAGAAAACAATTGGTAACACACTACGCCGCGAAGGACTGAAATCCTGCAGCGCCCGCAAGGTCCCCCTGCTCAAGAAAGCACATATACAGGGCAGTCTGAAGTTTGCCAATGAACATTGAATGATTCAGAGGAGAACTGGGTGAAAGTGTTGTGGTCAGATGAGACCAAAATGGAGCTCTTTGGCATCAACTCAACTCGCCGTGTTTGGAGGAGGAGGAATGCTGCCTATGACCCCAAGAACACCATCCCCACCGTCAAACATGGAGGTGGAAACATTATGCTTTGGGGGTGTTTTTCTGCTAAGGGGACAGGACAACTTCACCGCATCAAAGGGACGATGGACGGGGCCATGTACCGTGAAATCTTGGGTGAGAACCTCCTTCCCTCAGCCAGGGCATTGAAAATGGGTCGTGGATGGGTATTCCAGCGTGACATTGACCCAAAACACACGGCCAAGGCAACAAAGGAGTGGCTCAAGAAGAAGCACATTAAGGTCCTGGAGTGGCCTAGCCAGTCTCCAGACCTTAATCCCATAGAAAATCTGTGGAGGGAGCTGAAGGTTCGAGTTGCCAAACGTCAGCCTCAACCTTAATGACTTGGAGAAGATCTGCAAAGAGGAGTGGAACAAAATCCCTCCTGAGATGTGTGCAAACCTGGTGGCCAACTACAAGAAACGTCTGACCTCTGTGATTGCCAACAAGGGTTTTGCCACCAAGTACTAAGTAATGTTTTACAGAGGGGTCAAATACTTATTTCCCTCATTAAAATGCAAATCAATTTATAACATTTTTTACATGCGTTTTTCTGGATTTTTTTGTTGTTATTCTGTCTCTCATTGTTCAAATAAACCTACCATAAAAATTATAGACTGATCATTTCTTTGTCAGTGGGCAAACGTACAAAATCAGCAGGGGATCAAATACTTTTTTCCCTCAATGTAACAGACTGACCCTAGCCCCCCGGCACATAGACTATTGCTGCATAGATACTGGAGGCTGAGATGGGGTGTCGGGAGACACTGTGGCCCTGTCCGACGATACACCCGGACAGGTGCATCGTCAACCAGGCAAGATATAACCCCAACCACTTTGTCAAATCACAGCCCCCAGACCACCAGAGGGATATCAACAGACCACCAACCTACTACCCAGACACAAGGCTGAGTATAGCCCACGAAGATCTCCTCCACTGCACAAGCAGTGGAGGAAGTGTCAGATGCATTCATTCAAACATGCACTGATTAAATGGTGCTAAACCAATAGTTCTGAATTATAAGGTATAACTGTTATTGTTCAGCCATGGTTTGTGCAATAATGGAGGTGGTCATATATTTTTGTTCTTTGTGTTTAGTATGTACTGAAGCCCACGTTCACCAGACAGAACATTTCTGGATTGGACAAGCAGGGCAAGCTGTATGAGTGCCTGGCATAGTGGGGCTCAACAACATCAAGGCTAATGACTACGCTAATGTGGTGCTGCAGGTAAGACTGTTATCCTCCACAGAGTATCCACTGGTGAATCAGACCTCTCACCATTCACATGCTGCTAAACCTTTTCCTGTGTGATCATCCATGTAGCTCAGTTGGTAGAGCATGGCGCTTGCAACGCCAGGGTTGTGGGTTCGAGTTCCACGGGGGACCAGTATGAAAATGTATGCACTCACTACTGTAAGTCGCTCTGGATAAGAGCGTCTGCTAAATGACTTGAATGTAAAATGATTATTGTGAACTGTCTTTATCCTTCCAGGCACTGTCCAATGTGCCCCCACTGCGGAACTACTTTCTGGAAGAGGAGAATTACTGCGGCATCCGTAGGCCACCTGGTGACATCATGGTCCTGCTGGTGCAGCGATTCGGTGAGCTGATGCGCAAGCTGTGGAACCCACGGAACTTCAAGGCCCACGTGTCACCCCACGAGATGTTACAGGCCGTAGTGCTGTGTAGCAAGAAGAACTTCCAGATCACCAAGTAAGGTACGATTTTATTATATCACATTCAGTTAGGCCGTGAGCCATGATTCTTAAGAACAAAATGTTTTTAGTACAGTCAAATGTATGTACAGTTGAAGTCAGAAGTTTACATACACCTTAGCCAAATACATTTAAACTCAGTTTTTCACAATTCCTGACATTTAATCCTAGTACAAATTCCCTGTCTTAGGTCAGTTAGGATCACCACTTTATTTTAAGAATGTGAAATGTCAGAATAATAGTAGAGCGATTTATTTCAGCTTTTATTTCTTTCATCACATTCCCAGTGGGTCAGAAGTTTACATACACTCAATTAGTATTTGGTAGCATTGCCTTTAAATAGTTTAACTTGGGTCAAACGTTTCGGGTAGCCTTCCACAAGCTTCCCACAATAAGTTGGGTGAATTTTGGCCCATTCCTACTGACAGAGCTGGTGTACAGTGGGGGGGAAAAAAGTATTTAGTCAGCCACCAATTGTGCAAGTTCTCCCACTTAAAAAGATGAGAGAGGCCTGTAATTTTCATCATAGGTACACGTCAACTATGACAGACAAAATGAGAGAAAAAAATCCAGAAAATCACATTGTAGGATTTTTTATGAATTTATTTGCAAATTATGGTGGAAAATAAGTATTTGGTCACCTACAAACAAGCAAGATTTCTGGCTCTCACAGACCTGTAACTTCTTCTTTAAGAGGCTCCTCTGTCCTCCACTCGTTACCTGTATTAATGGCACCTGTTTGAACTTGTTATCAGTATAAAAGACACCTGTCCACAACCTCAAACAGTCACACTCCAAACTCCACTATGGCCAAGACCAAAGAGCTGTCAAAGGACACCAGAAACAAAATTGTAGACCTGCACCAGGCTGGGAAGACTGAATCTGCAATAGGTAAGCAGCTTGGTTTGAAGAAATCAACTGTGGGAGCAATTATTAGGAAATGGAAGACATACAAGACCACTGATAATCTCTCTCGATCTGGGGCTCCATGCAAGATCTCACCCCGTGGGGTCAAAATGATCACAAGAACGGTGAGCAAAAATCCCAGAACCACACGGGGGGACCTAGTGAATGACCTGCAGAGAGCTGGGACCAAAGTAACAAAGCCTACCATCAGTAACACACTACGCCGCCAGGGACTCAAATCCTGCAGTGCCAGACGTGTCCCCCTGCTTAAGCCAGTACATGTCCAGGCCCGTCTGAAGTTTGCTAGAGTGCATTTGGATGATCCAGAAGAGGATTGGGAGAATGTCATATGGTCAGATGAAACCAAAATATAACTTTTTGGTAAAAACTCAACTCGTCGTGTTTGGAGGACAAAGAATGCTGAGTTGCATCCAAAGAACACCATACCTACTGTGAAGCATGGGGGTGGAAACATCATGCTTTGGGGCTGTTTTTCTGCAAAGGGACCAGGACGACTGATCCGTGTAAAGGAAAGAATGAATGGGGCCATGTATCGTGAGATTTTGAGTGAAAACCTCCTTCCATCAGCAAGGGCATTGAAGATGAAACGTGGCTGGGTCTTTCAGCATGACAATGATCCCAAACGCACCGCCCGGGCAACGAAGGAGTGGCTTCGTAAGAAGCATTTCAAGGTCCTGGAGTGGCCTAGCCAGTCTCCAGATCTCAACCCCATAGAAAATCTTTGGAGGGAGTTGAACGTCCATGTTGCCCAGCGACAGCCCCAAAACATCACTGCTCTAGAGGAGATCTGCATGGAGGAATGGGCCAAAATACCAGCAACAGTGTGTGAGAACCTTGTGAAGACTTACAGAAAATGTTTGACCTGTGTCATTGCCAACAAAGGGTATATAACAAAGTATTGAGAAACTTTTGTTATTGACCAAATACTTATTTTCCACCATAAATTGCTAATAAATTCATTACAAATCCTACAATGTGTTTTTCTGGATTTTTTTTTCTTCTCATTTTGTCTGTCATAGTTGACGTGTACCTATGATGAAAATTACAGGCGCCTCTCATCTTTTTAAGTGGGAGAACTGGCACAATTGGTGGCTGACTAAATACTTTTTTCCCCCACTGTAACTGAGTCAGGTTTGTAGGCCTCCTTGCTCGCACACGCTTTTTCAGTTCTGCCCACAAATATTCTATAGGATTGAGGTCAGGGCTTTGTGATGGCCACTCCAATACCTTGACTTTGTTGTCCTTAAGCCATTTTGCCACAACTTTGGAAGTATGCTTGGGGTCATTGTCCATTTGGAAGACACATTTGCGACCAAGCTTTAACTTCCTGACTGATGTCTTGAGATGTTGCTTCAATATATCCACATCATTTTCCTTCCTCATGATGCCATCTATTTTGTGAAGTGCACCAGTCCCTCCTGCAGCGAAGCACCCCCACAGCATGATGCTGCCAACCCTGTGCTTCATGGTTGGGATGGTGTTCTTCGGCTTGCAAGCCTTCCCCTTTTTCCTCCAAACATAACAATGGTCATTATGGCCAAACAGTTCTATTTTTGTTTCATCAGACCAGAGGACATTTCTCCAAAAAGTACGATCTTTGTCCCCATGTGCAGTTGCAAACCTTAGTCGGGTTTTTTATGGCGGTTTTGGAGCAGTGGCCTCTTCCTTGCTGAGCGGCCTTTCAGCTTATGACGATATAGGACTCGTTTTACTGTGGATATAGATACTTTTGTACCTGTTTCCTCCAGCATCTTCACAAGGTCCTTTGCTGTTGTTCTGGGATTGATTTGCACGTTTCGCACCAAATTACGTTCATCTCTAGGAGACAGAACGCGTCTCCTTCCTGAGCGGTATGACGGCTACGTGGTTCCATGGTGTTTATACTTGCGTACTATTGTTTGTACAGATGAACGTGGTACCTTCAGGCATTTGGAAATTGCTCCCAAGGATGAACCAGACGTGTGGAGGTCTACAATTTTTTTTGAGGTTTTGGCTGATTTTCTTTTGATTTTCACATGTCAAGCAAAGAGGCACTGAGTTTGAAGGTAGGCCTTGAAATACATCCACAGGTACACCTCCAATTGACTCAAATGATGTCAATTAGCCTATTAGAAGCTTCTAAAGCCATGACATAATTTTCTGGAATTTTCCAAGCTGTTTAAAGGCAGTCAACTTCTGACCCACTGGAATTGTGATACAGTGAATTATAAGTGAAATAATCTGTCTGTAAACAATTGTTGGAAAAATTACTTGTGTCATGCACAAAGTAGATGTCCTAACCAACTTGCCAAAACGATAGTTTGTTAACAAGAAATTTGTGGAGTGGTTGAAAATGAGTTTTAATGACTCCAACCTAAGTGTATGTAAACTTCCGACTTCAACTGTATGTGTTGCCCTTTATGTTGCGAATAAACTAATCTGCTGATTGGTCTCTGTCCTGTAGGGGATGCTGTGGACTTTCTGTCATGGTTCATGAATGCTCTGCACAGCGCACTGGGAGGAACCAAGAAGAAACCTTGTGAGTGGGAGGTGAAGGGGACTGATGACTGGGGTGGAGGGAGTGATGTTGGGGAAGGATATGACTTAAACCTTTTTCATTGTCTTTATCATTCAGTGTTGTCTTCCTCACTATACAACCTATGAGATTAACAAAGATATCTCCCTCTTCTGTCCCATCTGTCGCCTATCGCCAATATAGCAAGCCTTACCAAAGTGTTCCAGGGTTCCATGCGTATCTTCTCCAAGAAGCTTCCTCACCCAGATTTGGTGAGTGGCTTATTGTCAGACCTTTGTAAAATGAAGACTGCATCATTGTATCAAAGTTTAAATCCTTACTTGTAAATTCATGACTTCAATATGATTACATATTTGAAAATCTAAATAGTTAATATTACATACCTTTCTCTCTCTCCAGCCACCAGAAGAGAAGGAGGCTCTGCTGTTGAAGGAGGAGTACCAGGAGGAGATGTCGGAGTCTACCTTCCTCTTCCTGACCCTTGACCTCCCCACAGCCCCACTGTACAAGGATGAGAAGGAGCAGCTCATCATCCCACAGGTCCCCCCCTTCAACATCCTGGCAAAGTTTAACGGCAACACAGAGAAGGTACTGCCCTCAAACTCCCACTTACATTAGCTCAGAGGAACAGCACTCCTATCTTCAAGCCAACCATCTCTCCCACCAAGTTAAATGAAAACTAGCCTCAGAAGCCTAGGCTTCTCACGTTTTGTTTGAAAGCCTCATGAAGACGGTATAAAGGGGTGGGCTAGATGGAAACTAGTGATGCGTTGCCACTTATCAAGCCAAACAAATGTTGCATGGGTTGCTCTACCAACCAATGTTGTTTCAGAAAAATTCTGACTTGCAACAAGCTAGCTAGCATAGGATACAAAACTAATGCTGCATAGGCTACTAAAACAAAAGCGAGTGTTAACAGCCAGCGCTCCCATCCAAAGCAAAATCTTTCAAAAGTCGAGTCAACGGGACAAGATTTGGAAAGATGGTCTGTGAGACTTCAGCTTCTGTTTGAAATAATCTTAAGTGCTTTATCACCTCTTGATTTTCCTCACCTCTTCGCACTTTCCTCTGGTCCCTTCACCCTCCTGTTTGCTTTTAGGAGTATAAAACCTACAAAGGGAATTTCCTCAAAAGGTTCCAGTTGCTCAAGCTTCCCCCCTATCTCATCCTCTGCATCAAGAGGTTCACCAAGAACAACTTCTTTGTGGAGAAGAACCCCACCATCGTCAACTTCCCCTTCACGTAAGAGATTGTTGCATACTTTCCCCATGTACTCAATGGTTATTTAGCATCATGCTCAGCCTGATGATTTCATGTCTGTATTTTTGACTCCTTGCATTTGCTCCTTGACCAGGAACGTAGACCTTCGTGAGTACCTGACAGAAGAGGCACAGGTCACAGAGAAGAACACCACCTATGACCTGGTGGCCAACGTGGTGCATGATGGGAAGCCCACTGATGGGGCATACAGAATACATGTCCTGCATCATGTAAGTGACAGCTGCATTTTTTAGGACTTTCTCCTAGTGTACTCTAAAGGATCACATTTGCAGAGCTTTAGATGTGCAGTATTTTATGACATAGTGAAATAAATACTCGTCCTGTTCAGTTATTGGTGCTAATGTGTGCCTTTTTTGGGGGGTCACTGAAGGGCACTGGGAAGTGGTACGAGCTGCAGGACCTACAGGTGACAGATATCCTGCCCCAGATGATCACACTGTCAGAGGCCTACATTCAGGTAAGCTCTGTTGTCACATTGACAACTGATTATACAAGATGCTGTTCTCTAATTTACAGGTTTATGTCTAGATAAGTTACTGACTCCCTGTAACTGTCAGTTGTGTTGTGTGGTTCTGTGTTCCAGATTTGGAAAAGAAGAGAGAACAAAGATGACAAAACTAACCACACAGGGGTGTGAATAAGGCATTGATCGTATTGAAAGATTGATTGTACAGGCAAGAGATGTCACTTGCCGGCCAGTGGTCAGACGAGCCCCAAAAAGCCACCAGAGTGGAACTGGACACTGTCCAAGATTACCTAACGGTAAGCCCCCACCACAGGACTTTTTATTTGTCGATTTTGGATATTGAGAAAACAATGTCTACTATTTTTTTGTTCTTCACGTCAGCTTTTAACTGTAAATGGTGGAATTAAATCAGCTTTGAAATGTCTGTTTCCAGTCATTAATATTATTTGATATGTTTGACCTTTTTGGATGAAATGTGTTGATTTATTCACCCCCAGAATCTTTGCCAGAGTTGGGTCTTTATTTGTGAAACAAGGTAGTAAAAACAATAAATAAAATGTCAACATTTTGAATAAGACATTACCAAATAGTGAGAGTTACAAAAGGATGTTCCTATTGTAAGCATTACATTATAGGATACATACAGTGGGGAGAACAAGTATTTGATACACTGCCGATTTTGCAGGTTTTCCTACTTACAAAGCATGTAGAGGTCTGTAATTTTTGTCATAGGTACACTTCAACTGTGAGAGAAAGACTCTAAAACAAAAATCCAGAAAATCACATTGTATGATTTTTAAGTAATTCATTTGCATTTTATTGCATGACATAAGTATTTGATACATCAGAAAAGCAGAACTTAATATTTGGTACAGAAACCTTTGTTTGCAATTACAGAGATCATACGTTTCCTGTAGGTCTTGACCAGGTTTGCACACACTGCAGCAGGGATTTTGGCCCACTCCTCCATACAGACCTTCTCCAGATCCTTCAGGTTTCGGGGCTGTCGCTGGGCAATACGGACTTTCAGCTCCCTCCAAAGATGTTCTATTGGGTTCAGGTCTGGAGACTGGCTAGGCCACTCCAGGACCTTGAGATGCTTCTTACGGAGCCACTCCTTAGTTGCCCTGGCTGTGTGTTTCGGGTCGTTGTCATGCTGGAAGACCCAGCCACGACCCATCTTCAATGCTCTTACTGAGGGAAGGAGGTTGTTGGCCAAGATCTCGCGATACATGGCCCCATCCATACTCACCTCAATATGGTGCAGTCGTCCTGTCCCCTTTGCAGAAAAGCATCCCCAAAGAATGATGTTTCTACCTCCATGCTTCACGGTTGGGATGGCGTTATTGGGGTTGTACTCATCCTTCTTCTTCCTCCAAACACGGCAAGTGGAGTTTAGACCAAAAAGCTCTATTTTTATCTCATCAGACCACATTACCTTCTCCCATTCCTCCTCTGGATCATCCAGATGGTCATTGGCAAACTTCAGACGGGCCTGGACATGCACTGGCTTGAGCAGGGGGACCTTGGGTGCGCTGTAGGATTTTTATCCATGACGGCGTAGTGTGTTACTAATGGCTGTGGTCCCAGCTCTCTTCAGGTCATTGACCAGGTCCTGCCGTGAAGTTCTGGGCTGATCCCTGACCTTCCTCATGATCATTGATGCCCCACGAGGTGAGATCTTGCATGGAGCCCCAGACCGAGGGTGATTGACCGTCATCTTGAACTTCTTCCATTTTCTAATAATTGCTCCAACAGTTGTTGCCTTCTCACCAAGCTGCTTGCCTATTGTCCTGTATCCCAGCCTTGTGCAGGTCTACAATTTTATCCCTGATGTCCTTACACAGCTCTCTGGTCTTGGCCATTGTGGAGAGGTTGGAGTCTGTTTGATTGAGTGTGTGGACAGGTGTCTTTTATACAGCTAACGCGTTCAAACAGGTGCAGTTAATACAGGTAATGAGTGGAGAACAGGAGGGCTTCTTAAAGAAAAACTAACAGGTCTGTGAGAGCCGGAATTCTTACTGGTTGGTAGGTGATCAAATACTTATGTCATGCAATAAAATGCAAATTAATTACTTAAAAATCATACAATGTGAATCATACAAAGTAGGAAAACCTGCAAAATCGACAGTGTATCAAATACTTGTTCTCCCCACTGTATACTCATGTACATTTAGTTGGATCACAAAAATCTAATAATTGTATATTAAGGTAATGCATTATTAAAATGTTGACATTACTGATTTAAAGGATTTCTCAACAGGAGGTACATGTTCACTAATTTCTTCAAGACACTTTGCCACTTTTTCATTTATTGTACTATATTTGTTCTTCCTGATTATGACTGATTTTAACTGAAGATACTATAGCCTACCTTTTTATTGTAGACAACTGAAAAGTCACAACACATTTCAAATGTAAATTATTATACTTGTGGATATGTGCTTAAATAGGTCCAATATTATTTTAAGTCAATAATTTACATTGACTTAATTACTTACTGTACTCATAACAGCCTACCCAGTGCAAATCATCTCAGTGCTACAACAGCCTACCAGAAGTGCAAATCAAGGAATTATTTAAATATACAGGAATTTTACTCAAATTGCTCAGTGTAATATCAGATGACCAGTTAAATGAAATTGACAAATATTTCATTTATACTGTTGCAAAGAAAAATCATTAAGGCAACAGTGCAATCAGTTAGTAACAAGTGCAAATCTAAAACATATGTTTGGCAGATAAATCATCAGCTTCATCCATGGAGGGAGAACTCTGGGAGTGGTTCTCAGCTCTAGTTCCACATCAACTTCTGGCAGAGGTCTACCATCTGGAGTTGTATCAAAATGAAAATAAAACCAGATCAGAAATAATGCAGCAAAACATTGGTGTGGGTAGGGTTGTTTTTCAGACAATACACAATGGCAGACATGACTTGTACTTGGGTTGTTGTATTAGATAAGACCATGGCCCAGTTTCCCAAAAGCATCTTAAGTTTAAGACCGGTCCCGTGTAGCTCAGTTGGTAGAGCATGGCGTTTGCAACGCCAGGGTTGTGGGTTCGATTCCCACGGGGGGCCAGTATGAAAAAAATAAAATGTATGCACTCACTAACTGTAAGTCGCTCTGGATAAGAGTGTCTGCTAAATGACTAAAATGTAAGTTCATCGTTAGAACCTTCGTAGGAGCATAGTTAAATCTGAGCTGTTTCCCAAAACCATTGTTATTAACGTTGCACTTAATCTAATCTAACGAAGTCGTAATCTAACGCCTGCCTCAGACAACTCGTAGAACAGCTAAGTATCGTTAGATGCTTTTATACACAGAAGATCTCCGCTAAACATGGAATCACATGGTTTATCCGTCTCTGTGACCGCCGATAACAAAACAAAGTTGACTACAAATAAAGTTGTCAATGTCTTTGCAATTGATACAAACAAGCAATGTACAGTATAAAAATATACTTCAAATGAAAACCCAGATGACTGCATTAAAATATAAGCAGAAGGCTATAGGCCTATTTCAAACATATTGAAATAACTGATTGAACATGAAATGTAGGCTAAGTTATTTTGCTACTTATAGGCTACTGTCTAATTTGTCTCAATATTTCATGATGTGTAGCCTAACAAGTGCGCAATGATGTGCCAAATCGGTTATTTAGTGCATTTTTATTGGGTAAGCATTAGAATTAGCCGCCTCAATATTTGCAGCCGTAGGTGGTAATATCTCTCTAGGAGCTGATCCGTCAGTATTGTGAAATAATTATAATGTTAAGGAAAGATTTGAAAGGAGAAACCTGATCTGAGAGCAGCACTCCCTTTCTATCGATCCTATCAGTATCGACACACTTAGCGACCGCTCTCTCATGTTACATCTACGATCGTTGTAGGAAAGATGCATTGTTAAAAACACTTGTTCTATCGCTATCGGGAAACCGGGCCCATGGCAGATCTAGTTTACTTACGCCACACCCCTGAGCGGTTTTCAAGTCCCTGCAGATGTAACTGGGTCCCCAGGTACACTGGTTCTTCCCCAGAAGATGCTGCTCTTTCACAGCAACACACACATCAGCTCTCTGGAGGACACAGAGATATACACTGAGTGTACAAAACATTAGGAACACCTTATTAAAATTGAGTTGCACCCCCTTTTGCCCTCAGAACAGCCTCAATTTGTCGAGGGCATGCTCTACAAGGTGTTGAAAGCGTTCAACGGATGCTGGCCCATGTTGACTCCAATGCTTCCCACAGTTGTCTGGATGTCTTTTGGGCGGTGGACCATTCTTGATACACATGGGAAACTGTTGAGCGTGAAAAACCCATACCCCGTTCAAAGGCACTTAAATATTTTTCACCCTCTGAATAGCACACATACACAATCCATGTCTCAAGGCTTAAAAATCCTTCTTTAACCTGTCTCCTCCCCTTCATCTAGACCGATTAAAAGTGGATTTAACAAGTGACCTCAAAGGATCATACCTTTCACCTGGTCAGTCTATGTAATGGAACGAGCAGGTTTTCCTAATGTTTTGTACACTCAGTGTATAATCAGCTGATATACTAAGACAAGACTCCGTCACCTTACACACAATCAAACCACTTGTCACTGGGACAGTCACTCTATAAGAGCAGTGGTCATGGTTAGTAATTAGAAGAAGTGGTCTGGGGATATAGATGGTGAGGTTAGCAATGTCACAGACACTGTAGAGTCAGAGGAGGACCTTCTACGGCTGGATGGGAATGGTTTAATTACCTCGCATGTATCCGGAGCATCCATTTGGCTTCCCAGAACCTTCTGTAGCCTGGGGCCATAGAGTTTGGTGAACATTTCACACTGGATAGAACACAAAGACCGGTACAATGAAACTGACGTAACTACTTTTAACACAACTAAAGTTTTGTTATTCTTGTCTCTTACGGTGACTACAGCACAGAGCACTATATTTAGGCCTATTCTCCTGGTACTGGTAGTGGAGGCAACTTGCATAAGCTCTGTTGTGCTTCTCATACACTAAATAAACATGTAGGGGCTAACGGGTGGATGTAAAGTAGAGGGACTGGGCAGACCTTGGGGATGGCGTTGGGGTGCTGCAGGCAGACAGACTGGAGGAAAGAGGTGGTCTGAGGTTCAGTGGCATTGAGACCCAGGTGGAGCCGGCTCAGAACCGCAAGGGTACGGCAGGAATCACAGTCAGAGGGGAGGGGCATCTCTGGAGAGGAGGGTCAGGGTTACAGAGGGCTACAATGTGGGAGAGCAGTGTCAAGTGAGACAGAGAATCTACAGATCAAGGAGAGCATAAGCGATGAGGGAAGAAGAGGAGAGAGCAGAAAGGAAATGTGTAGCCCACATAGTCATATCAGTATGAGACCACACACATACAGTGCATTCGGAAAGTATTCAGACCCCTCGACTTTTTCCACATTTTGTTACGTTACAGCCTTATTCTAAAATGTATTAAATGTTTTTTTCCCATCAATCTACACACAATACCCCTTAATGACAAAGCAAAAACAGGTTTTTAGAAATGTTTACAAATGTATTACAAATAACAACCTGATCACATTTACATAAGTATTCAGACCCTTTACTCAGTACTTTGTTGAAGAACCTTTTGACAGCGATTACAGCCTCAAGTCTTCTTGGGTATGACGCTACAAGCTTGGCACAAATGTATTTGGGGAGTTTCTCCCATTCTTCTCTGCAGATCCTCTCAAGCTCTGTCAGGTTGGATGGGGAGCGTCACTGCACAGCTATTTTTAGGTCTCTCCAGAAATGTTAGATCGGGTTCAAGTCCGGGCTCTGGCTGGGCCACTCAAGGACATTCAGAGACTTGTCCCGAAGCCACTCCTGCATTGTCTTGGCAGTGTGCTTAGGATCTTTGTCCTGTTGGAAGGTGAACCTTCGCCCCAGTCTGAGGTCCTGAGCGCTCTGGAAAAACATCCCCACAGCATGATGCTGCCACCACCATGCTTCACCGTAGGGATGGTGCCAGGTGTCCTCCAGATGTGACGCTTGGCATTCAGGCCAAAGAGTTCAATCTTGGTTTCATCAGACCAGAGAATCTTGTTTCTCATGGTCTGAGAGTCCTTTAGGTGCCTTTTGGCAAACTCCAAGCAGGCTGTCATGTGCCTTTTACTGAGGAGTGTCTTCCGTCTGGCCACTACCATAAAGGCCTGATTTGTGGAGTGCTGCAGAGATGGTTGTCCTTCTGGAAGGTTCTCCCATCTCCACAGAGAAACTCTGGAGCTCTGTCAGAGTGACCATCAGGTTCTTGGTCACCTCCCTGACCAAGGCCATTCTCCCCCGATTGCTCAGTTTGGCTGGGCGGCCAGCTCTAGGAAGAGTCTTGGTGGTTCCAAACTTCTTCCATTTAAGAATGATGGAGGCACTGTGTTCTTGGGGACCTTCAATGCTGCAGACATTTTTTGGTACCCTTCCCCAGATCTGTACCTCGACACAATCCTGTCTTGGAGCAGTACGGACAATTCCTTCGACCTCATGGCTTGGTTTTTGCTATGACATGCACTGTCAACTGTGGGACCTTATATAGACAAATCATGTCCAATCAATTGAATTTACCACAGATGGACTCCAATCAAGTTGTAGAAACATCAAGGATTATCAATGGAAACAGGATGCACCTGAGCTCAATTTCAAGTCTCATAGCAAAGGGTCTGATACATTTGCAAAAAATTCTAAAAACCTGTTTTCGCTTCGTCATTATGAGGTATTGTGTGTAGATTGATGAAGGAAAAAAACAATTTAATCAATTTTAGAATAAGGCTGTTAAGTAACAAAATGTTGAAAAAGTCAAGGGGTCTGAATACTTCCCGAATGCACTGTATGACCTTATGATTGAGACATGAGCTCTGGTCTGACCAAATCACCCCACTCACCCATGCTGGGGGTCTCCTGGAACAGACACAGGTGCAGCATGACACAGATGGAGTGAGGGGCGGCTGACGACAGCAGGAAGTCAACAATCTCCTTTCCATACTTGTTGATGAAGTCATCACACTGGTCTTTGTAGCTTGCAGGCAGGAGGCCACACACCTCACCCATTAGCTTCACTACGGCATCCTGTAAGGGTCAAGGGTGTCCAACAAAATTTGTTAGTGAGTGTGGACACGTGTGGGGAAAATATAGACGTATTGAGAGAGTTACCTCAGTCCTCTCCATAGGCAACATGCTCTCCAGTTTCTTCATAAGATAAACACAGAAGGTACACTGTGGGCTGACCTGCACCTAGAGATGAGATTAGCTGGTGAGAGAGCATTCAATGCAGACAGAAAAATTACAAATGCAGAACTAGAAAAAAAAACACATTGACAAACAAACAAAAAGGGCAGGCAAGGGACTTCCGTTCCTAGACTGTACAAAAGTTCAGCTCTCACACTCACCTCTGGGCTGGTGCCTGAGTCGAGTACAGCATTGGACAGATCGATGTCAGTGAAAGTGGGAGGAAGCTGTTCAGGTGCTCTTCTCTCTGAGCGGACAGCACACAGGCCCAGAACCATACATGTCTCACCTGGCTTCTACAGATATGAAGAAGGAGAAAGACAATTGAGAAGTCATTCTATTATAGAATCACAACATTATTGCCCATGATAAAGGGAATGTAGGAACATTTTGGATGGTTATGTTGTATAATATCCCTGTAAACTGGACTTCCCTCTCTGTATGTTTGAAGTGCTCAGACACTCACCAGTATGCCAGTGAGGTACTGGATGGCTTGGGGCAGGTACATCTGCACCCGGGATATACAGTGGCTTTTAGCCTCATCTCCGGGGAGGCGCAGACACAGGGCATCCAGGGTGTTGTGGATCAGCTCCTAAACAATCAACACAGGTACACATACAGTTACAGTACACTACTGGTGGCTCACTTTGTTGAGGGGTGAGATGCACAATGACATGTGAATTTGACATCCTTCTAGCAGTCTTGGTTTCAAGCTTAGAGTTCAATATAATGTAGTCTCTGTTGACTACTATAAGGGAGTTGCTCCGAGATATGGTATTCTATATTTGCACAATAAACAGGAACTGAAAGATGGGGGAGGAATGGCGTGAGACCAGAAGGCTTTTTTCATATTTCCTTGTATCTCTTGTCTACAGAAATGAAATCCGAAGTACCACTTTCTGATCAGGGTGTTATCTGCAACTCTGGCTACAAAAATACAATGAGAGAAGACATACTTCAGCAGAATCAGAATGGGTACTCACCTGGGTGTCTGTGTTGGAGATCATGTCTGTGAATAGCTCAATGATCTGGCTGCAGTCTGAGCAGATGTCAGTTGTCTGGTAGAAGGGGAAGGTCAGAAGTGAGAGGTCAGCGAGTAACTATAATTTAAAATGTTCAGGCATAACCCCCTACATCTCTAACCTAATAACCACATGCTCTTCAGCATGTGTACAGTTCAGGCATGGAATCTCTGATGAAAAACGGCACACCACAACAACTGTCTTTCTGAAGTTTAAAAATAACTTGTTTTGTAGTGTGTGAAAGCACAGGCTTGGTGAAACAGGCTGTGTTACTAGAAATATGTGGCCAAGATATGGAGTTTTCTATAGATGTGATTAATGATTTATGAACCAAGTACAGGGCTATATCCCCTAGAATAGAGAATACAAGTTATACAATTGGTAACTATTAACAGGTGACTACTTGAGTTAATGGGTGTAGTCTCCATCAAACCTGGTCCTGGAGGAGACATGTTAGATCTGTTGGTTTCACACATACAGCAATTTATATCTTACTGAAGACTGCTGTGTGATGCCCAACTTGGCCCTGGTAGGCTCACCGATGACCATGGTCTCACCTGTGAAGATCCCGCAGAATAACCCCCAGTTTAGTTTGTTAGTATAAACAAAAGTTGTTAACTAGGTCAGATGTAGACTAGTACAATACATCATTTCTATTCAGATATTGGAACAAGGCACTAGCCTGGTGCCAGTCTTGTTTCTGCTCTCTTGCCAACAGCTGTGTCCATTAAGTTGTTCAGCGATTTTTTTTCGACATTTATAAAGTTCGCATTGAAAATAGATGCGACAATTGCCTACTTGGGTGCGTTTCCATTTAACTATCTTGTGTCGATAAAAAACAGCTGGACGTATTGACGTCACACCTAAAAAACGGTTTTTCGCAAAAACCTAGTGTCGAATAAAAATGTAGTGGTTGAAATGTTTTCATTACACATTTAGGCAAATTGCGCATTAATAAATTGGCGACAGCCTGTATGCCCTCCCACCTATCTTCGTGTCTCAGGTAGCCTGCGAAAGCAAGCATGGATAGAACGCAATTGACTAATATTTGCCATATTCCAATAATTCTCATGTGCCAACGTATCGCCACGGTCCGTGCCATGGTGAAACTTGCACTCCCATAGATCTGAAATAATTGAATGGTGAAACTTGCCAACCTGAAATGCAAAGCGAGTCAGCGATTCTTGAAAGTCATATTTATATTTATATGAAAAATAATGACTTTGCAAGCAGTAGACATTAAGAATTATGTGTGGAGTGGAACTTTATATACTGAACAAAAATATTAACGCAACATGCAACGATTTCAAAGATTTTAGTGAGTTACAGTTCATAAGGAAATCAGTCAATTGAAATAAATAAATTATGCCCTAATCTATGGATTTCACATGACTGGGCAGGGGTGCAGCTATGGGTGGACCTTGGAGGGCATAGGCCCACCCACTTGGCAGCCAGACCCACCCACTGGAGAGCCAGGCCCAGCCAATCAGAATCCGTTTTTCCCCACAAAAGGGATTTTTACAGACAGAAATACTCCTCAGCACCCCCCCCCCAGCCAGATGCGGAGGTCCTAGGCTGGCGTGGTTAAACGTGGTTGTGAGGCTGGTTGGATGTACTGCCAAATTCTCTAAAACGATGCTGGAGGCAGCTTATGGTAGAGATATGAACATTCAATTCTCTGGCAACAGCTTTGGTGGACATCCCTGCAGTCAGCATGCCAATTGCACGCTCCCTCAAAACTTGAGACATCTGTGGCATTGTGTTGTGTGACAAAACTTCACATTTTAAAGTATCCTTTTATTGTTCCCAGCACAAGGTGCACCTGTGTAATGAGCATGCTGTTTAAATCAACTTCTTGATATGCCTCACCTGTCAGGTGCATGGATTATCTTGGCAAAGGAGAAATGCTCACTAACCGGGATGTAAACAATTTTGTGCACAACATTTGAGAGAAATAAGACTTTTGTGTGTATGGAACATTGCTGGGATTTCTTCTTTCAGCTCATGAAACTTGGGACCAACATTTTACATGTTGCGTTTATATTTTTGTTCAGTGTAGTTAGGCGTGACATCACGTGCCCCGCGTACCTTAAAAATGATTAGGCAATCATTTATTCGAAAAACACCGTTTCCATCATTTGTCGCAATAAAGACAAGTTCCAAAAGAAAATGACACCCCTGTTGAACCGATATTTGATCGATCTTTAGAAAAATGTATTCATACCTGCCGTCTTAATTGTACAGCCTAATCTGGCAAGGACCAGACCGCATCATGTCCCAAATTTTGAACAGGCCTAACGTATTCTACGTTATGCAAAGGAAAAACCCACTGGGCACAGACGTCAATTCAACGTCTATCCACGTTGGTTCAACGTAATTTTGTTGAAATTCCGTGGAAACAACGTTGATTCCACCAGTGTGTGCCCAGTGGGAAGGAAGCAAAATATCTTCCATAATCTGGCATTGCTAATTGAAGAAAAAAAGCACTGTGGTCAAAATCAGAAAATAGCACGACTGCTTCTTAGCGCAGTTTTAACGGATGTGTTTGTGCAGAATCCAGGTCTATTTTTGTAACTGTTAATATGTAGCGACAGCCATTTAGTGACAGCGACTCGTTAGACATGGAAGGGTTTGCCAAAAAGACTGTCAACATAGAATAATATATATGCGCTAGCCATGTAGCTACTTACCAATACAAAAAGATGCCAAGATCAACACAATAAATGGTAAAACCGACATCGTAAGAGAGGACAGATAATGATTTACAGTCGGCCCTGTATCAATAAAAGTGACAGTAGTATGATCTTTCCGATGGCTATGAGTCCGGAAGCACAGATCATGAAGGGAATAATGCGTTTAGGCCATAGAGAAAGATAGAGGACTCTAGTGCACAAAAGCCTATGTTAGCATGGGCAGCGCCATTATGGACTTTCATCATATTGAAATTGTCAACGGGGTGGGACTTCCTATGACAGGGTCTCCCAAAGTCGGTGCACGTTTTGTTTTTTGCCCTAACACTACACAGCCGATTCAAATGATCAAAGCTTGATGATTAGTTGATTATTTGAATCAGCTGTGTAGTGCTAGGGCAAAAACCAAAACCGAGTTTGGGAAACCCTGACCTATGGGTTAAGGAAGGATCACATAATCCCATCCATAGCCAATGAATTATGCTCGTGAGTAAACATTCCATAACTGCAGGTGGCAGTAAATGTATACCTGTTCCAACAACTCATTCCAGGTGGTGTATTCAACGGTTTAGTTTGTTTACCAAGTAGTAGAAGAATAAAATGGACTACTCAAAATGGAAATGGCCTCAATGCCCGTGCACTTACAAAAAGCGTCTGCTAAATGGCATATTATTTATTATTATTATTATACAAAAAAGAGTCCTCTATCATTCTTTATGGTTTAGGCAGAGTCGAAAAAACAACAGTCACATGTTAAGGCTTGCTGTGTCAAATGTTCCTTACCAGAGGTGTATTCACTACCGTATTCGGTTGAAAAACGTCTCAAAACCGTTTACTCCAAATGGAGAACGTTTTGCAACACAAACTAGAGTTTCTATTGGACAAATTCAGGTAGGTCCCTCCCCGTTTCGTTCCGTTTGGTTTCTAGTGAATACACCTCAGTTAACAGATTTTTAAAGCTAGAATCCTTAATTGAAACAATAGCAAAGCGGTCACCCCTGTTTTGGTATAAAGCTGAGGGATGGGCCTGGAGAAATGTAACCACTCTCAAATTCATAGACAGCTATGAATGCAAGGACTGACCATCCATGATATCAAAATTATAGTTTTAACCATGTTTTGAGGCTATGCAGTGTTTGTTTACATTTCCATTGTTTACAAACATTGGAGTAAAACAAGCTTATATTTTGGGTTCTCATGGGGTATGACCAATAATTTATATATACACTTGATGACAGCAGCTTGTATGTGAGTGGGTGTGCATGTGTGTAGAGTCAGTATAAATGTATGTGCATATTATGTGTGAGTGAGCAGATGATGGAGTGAGTGTGTGTGTGAGTGTGTTGGGCCCTGTGAGTGTGCAAAGAGACAGTGTAAAACTTAAAATAAATGGTCAATAAAGGTACAAGGTTAACTCAGATAACCAGTGTAGCTATTTTGTTAGCTATTTATAATTTGTATTGCTTGGAGATAGAAGCTGTTCAAGAGCCTGTTGGTGTCAGACTTGATGCACCGGTACCACTTGCCATGCGGAAGCAGAGAGATTAGTCTATGGCTTGGGTGGTTGGAGTCTTTAATGATTTTCCGGGCCTTCCTTCCACATCGCCTGATATAGATGTCCTGGATGGCAGGGAGCTCGGCCACAGTGATGTACTGGGTTGTCCACACCACTCTCTGTAGCGCCATGCGATCGAGGGCGGTGCTATTGCCGTACCAGGCAGTGATGCAGCCAGTCAAGATGCTCTCAATGGTACAGCTGTAGAACTTTCTGAAGATTTGGGGGCCCATGACAAACTTTTTCAACCTCTTGAGTGGGAAGAGGCGCTGTTATGCCTTCTTCACGACGGTGCTTGTGTATTTGGACCATTTTAAGTCTTTAGTGATTTGAACACCAAAGAACTTGAAGCTCTCGACCTGCTTCACTGCAGCCCCATCAATGTGGATGGGGGTGTGCTCGCCCCCCCCCCTTTCCTGTAGTCCACGATCAGCTCCTTGGTCTTACTGATGTTGAGGGAGAGGTTGTTGCTCTGGCACCACACTGCCAGGTCACTGACCTCCTCCCTGTAGGCTGACTCATTGCCGCTGGTGATCAGGCCTACTACCGTCGTGTTGTCAGCAAACTTGATGATGGTGTTGGAGTCGTGCGTGGCCATGCAGTCGTGGGGGAATAGGGAGTACAGGAGGGGAATAAGCACACACCCCTGTGGAACACACATTTTGGTGATGAGCTTGGAGGGGAAAATGGTGTTGAACGCTGAGCTGTAGTCAATGAACAGCATTCTCACATAGGTATTCCTCTTATCTAAATGCATTTATTCATGCATTTATTAGCTAGAAATGCATTTATTTATGTATGCATTTGTTTTTGCTACATTTATTCTATTACAGACACCTTAATGCATACTTTTAAATCACATTAATGAGAGAATGCCAAGAGTGTGCTAAACTGTCATCAAGGCAAAGGGTGGCTACTTTGAAGAATCTCAAATAAAAAAAACATATTTTGATTTGTTTAACACTGTTTTGGTTACTACATGATTCCATATGTGTTATTTCATAGTTTTGATGTCTTCACTATTATTCTACAATGTAGAAATTTTTAAAAAATTAAGAAAAACCCTGGAATGAGTAGGAGTGTCCAAACTTTTGACTGGTACTGTATGTCGAAATGACCGTAAACAATATTCAGCTAATGCACACTCATTCAATAAGGTTCAAAGATAGGATTTCTTACACGTCAAAGCAAATTACATTGATTGGCAACATTTAGTAACTGAATAATGAATTGAAAGTTGAAATGTAAGGCACATGATCACAGATTTGTTAACCTTACCATAATGTACTGCTTGAACTAAACAAATAATGACTGGTCACACTTATCAGGCACACAAGATCTCTTGATTCAATATTAATCAATCAGTCAGGAGATGCTTGACATTTTTTAAATGGACAAGCTCATGCTGGAAGAATCATTACACCAGGATACAAATAAGTTCTGGTTTTTATTAAATACAATTCGTTTTTTTCCTTTGCCCTAAAGGAGAACCTGTCAAGAAAAGATGTTTAAGGTTAAGAGGCAGGATTAATCGGGAAGAAGGAAACACATCACTGTAATAGTCCTGCCTTAGGTCAAAAGGTGGACATATGGGCTGTGCCTCCTACTGATCACTCAGTATATAAGGCACTGTAGATCACAGTAAGACACATTGAGATCTGACCTCTCTTGGAAGAACCAATTTGGAGGCTGCAGGTAAACACGTCCTCTTTTTCATCATCTCTGTGTGTCTGGACGAAATAATTATCTTGGATGTACCCTGTTCTGGTGCTTTGGCTTTAGTTGAATGTCTATGTCCATGTGCGGTCACCTTAGCAGAAGATTGTCTTATGCATCATGCTCTTCTTTAGTTAATCTTATAGTGAGGTAATGCTAGATATTGGACAAATCTCGAGCTGAACATCTTAAAGTCAGACTATAAAGGTGCCTGTACACAGAGGGATGATATATCTATAGCTAATGTAAAATGTGAGTAAATTGTAAAATTAGAGTGAATTGTGGTTGATTATAGTACATATTTTGTTTTTACATGAATGTTCAAAACTTGTAAAAGCAATCTGAAAAATTACACATCTAATGTTCACATAGTATGTGTCGTTTTCATTTTATGACTACAACATCCATCACATATCTGGCTTTGGGAAACTTAGGACATCATGTGTGTGTGTTTTTCAGAGATGAACCATTTTCTGTGCCTTCTGGCCATGGGGCTGTACCTGTGCTTGTTAAGCCAGGTGAATGCAGGTGAGTGATGGCTTTAGCACCTTACATCGAACTTCAAGAATGACTGCATTCTGTGTAAAGGGTGAAAAGAGAAATTATTTCATAAATTGGTCAGAACATAAATTGGTAACAAATGCCTGAATGTGCTCTCATTTATTATGGTCTAATCAAATTAACTTTGACGAAAATATTGAATAAATAATTGTTGCACATAGAATATGTGGATATCAGTCACAGAAATTGAAAGATGCTTATTTTGTCTTCAGAACGGCGCTTGAGGAGGAATTGTATCCTAAACGCAGTAAATGACAACAAGGCCAGAGTGGACACGTACTATGATTACTCCAGAAAATAGTGAGTCTGCAAACCCTTCTTTGAAATATTTTTATGTGACTTGTATGAATCACAGAACATGTTTCGGTTTGTGTATGTATTGTACAGAATATGTATTTCTATGTGGCAATTTATTAATGGTACACCACATAACAGCCATGTATCTCTCACTGTAAGAGCGCCTAGAAGCCTGGCATGCGTTGCTACATATAGTACCAGTGAGTTATACCATTGGCTCATGTCCCTGCACTGCAACCCTGTAGGAGTTTATCACGCGTAAAGAGGAATGCTGTCGGACCTGCAGACATCCTGCGGCTACTGAAGCAGCCTGCTCGGCACACCCGCTCAGTGGTGCGGGCTGCAGACTACATGGAGAACGCCATCAAATGAATCCTGGAGAGATCTACCAAAAACCACCGCATCCACAAGCGCTCACTCAACGCCACAGGTCTGTCCTGTTTCTGACACACCTGTTTCTCTGTCCTGTTTCTCTCACAGTTACATCTCCATACACACACGTCTCCTTTCTAGTATTTCCCCTAGTTTAGGGAAAATACCCTGACTGCTCCATACACATGTCCCCATCAACAATCAGATCACACAGCTCACTGGCTCTCTGTCTGTCTTCCGCACAGACCTGATCTCTGCTGAGGATCTGGAGACTATCGCTCCCCTTCCTGCAAAACCACCCCCAACCTGAACAGGTTCCGCACCGCCACCAGTGTCTGTAACAACAGGTAAGCCAATCAAGGCATCAAGGCAACAAGACTCCTAACAAACCTGTTGTTGCACAACACATACTGGCCTAAAATCACAGAAGGAAGGAATTGATTAGTGACACAAGCCGAAAACATGAATCTCATGTCATCTCCTTCACTTTTTCAATTAATATTTCCCTCCTCCTCTTTCCAGGGAAAACCCTCAAAGAGGCTCTGCCAACACACCCTTTGCCCGCTGGCTCCCTGCTGAGTATGAGGATGGCATTCTGAAACCAGTGGACGCTGACTTGGAGAGTGACATGCTGTACATCCACCTGGTGACCATCTTTGGCCAGTGGAATAACCACGACCTGACCTGAAGGAGCACTTCAGCAACGGCATCAACTGTGACGAGACCTGTGAGTGCACAGAGCCCTGCTTCCCCATGGCGGTCAGTCTCTCACTCTACATACGCTAAACCTTTTTTGAAGGTTGAAATACAGAGAATCATATGAACTACTCCTTCTCTGCTCTCTTCTGAAACAGATCCCCAAGGATGATCCTCGTGACGAGGAGTGCATGCCCTTCTTCCGCTCGGCCCCAGCCTGCGGCAAAGGCACCACAGGCTATGTCTTCGGAGCCAGCAATGTGCGCCAGCAGATGAACTCTCTGATGTGCTTCATCAATTTGGGCCAGGTGTATGGCTCAGATGAAGCTCTGGCCCGCAACCTCCGTAACTTCACCAACGTCAAGGGCCAGCTGCGGGTTAATACAAAGTTCACAGACAACGGGCGCGAGCTCCTGCCCTTCTCCATCATGGGCACCAACGTGTGCCAGCCGAAGCCGCATAACTAACGACAGCAACGCAGAGGAGGTGCCCTGCTTCCTGGCAGGTGAGCAATAGACACTACACAACATGTATTGTTACCACACATCCAATTAGACACTACACCAAAATGTTCTCTGTCAGCAAGCTACTCACACCCTTCTCCAGATGTGTGTCACAGCACTCCCAAATCCACATAGTGTAGACATGTTTCTGCTTCTTTGGATGGGGTTTTGTGTGTTAGTTAATCTACTTGTATTGTCCTTGAATGACCATACAACAATCCAGTAACAACTATCTTCTCTTGTTGTCTTCCAGGTGATGAGCGTGCAAATGAGAACATTGCTTTGACCACCATGCACACAATGATGCTGCGTGAACACAACCGTCTGGCCCGCGCCCTCACCCAGCTCAACCCTCACTGGACTGGAGAGATCACCTACCAGGAGACCCGCAAGATCATGGGAGCCTACTTCCAGGTGAGTCAAATGAGAGCATAATAACAAATCTATTTAATTTAGCTCCGTTTCTATCTGTACATGGAGTTCAACATTACAAAGGTCCTACCATACCGTAGTTACCAACACACATGGGTTTGAGTTGCTGGGTGATTAAACTGTCACTCATCTCCTTCCTCCTCTCACAGGTGATCACCTTCAGGGACTACCTGTTCCACATTGTGGGACCAGACTTCATTGCAAGGCAGCTGTCCACCTACCCTGGCTATGATGAGAATGTCGACCCCAGCATATCCAATGTGTTTGCCACCGCCACCTACCACTTCACTCACCTGTCCATCCAGCCCTTTATCTTCTGTCTGGATGAGAACTACACTGAGAACGCCCAGTTCCCCAGCCCGCTGCTGCACAGGGCCTTCTTCGCCCCCTGTTGGATCGTCTTTGAAGGTACAACTCTCAGTCCCACTTCTCAGGGGAACATTTACATTTGACATTTTTAGTCATTTAGCAGACGCTCGTATCCAGAGCGACTTACAGTTAGTGAGTGCATACATTTACATTCACCATAAGTGATTTCCCGTTGTACACAAAAAACGAGGTCCCCCAGAGCATAACCACTGCTATGCCTAATAGTGTATAACAAGGAGGAGCATAACCACTGTTATGACTAATAGTGTCTGTTGTATGGTTGACATCATTCCTAACCTCACTCTCTCTCACTCAGGGCCACAAGGGCCACATGGTTTGCCTGGCATCGCCGTGAAATCTGCCTTCGCCGTGCGGCTCGGCTACAACTACCCCAAACCAGGCCAGCCCATCCAATTCTGTGAGGTAATCTACAACGGACAGAACCACTATGACACCAAGACGGGGTTGTTCACCTGCGTGGAGCCAGGCGTCTACGAGTTTGAGTTCCATTGCACCATATACAGTGAGGGAAAAAAGTATTTGATCCCCTGCTGATTTTGTACGTTTGCCCACTGACAAAGACATGATCAGTCTATAATTTTAATGATAGGTTTATTTTAACAGTGAGAGACAGAATAACAACGAAAAATTCCAGAAAAACGCATGTCAAAAATGTTATAAATTGATTTGCATTTTAATGAGGGAAATAAGTATTTGACCCCTCTGCAAAACATGACTTAGTACTTGGTGGCAAAACCCTTGTTGGCAATCACACAGGTCAGATGTTTCTTGTAGTTGGCCACCAGGTTTGCACACATCTCAGGAGGGATTTTGTCCCACTCCTCTTTGCAGATCTTCTCCAAGTCATTAAGGTTTCGAGGCTGACGTTTGGCAAGCCGAACCTTCAGCTCCCTCCACAGATTTTCTATGGGATTATGGTCTGGAGACTGGCTAGGCCACTCCAGGACCTTAATGTGCTTCTTCTTGAGCCACTCCTTTGTTGCCTTGGCCGTGTGTTTTGGGTCATTGTCATGCTGGAATACCCATCCACGACCCATTTTCAATGCCCTGGCTGAGGGAAGGAGGTTCTCACCCAAGATTTGATGGTACATGGCCCCGTCCATCGTCCATTTGATGCGGTGAAATTGTCCTGTCCCCTTAGCAGAAAAACACCCCGAAAGCATAATGTTTCCACCTCCATGTTTGACGGTGGGGATGGTGTTCTTGGGGTCATAGGCAGCATTCCTCCTCCTCCAAACACGACGAGTTGAGTTGATGCCAAAGAGCTCCATTTTGGTCTCATCTGACCACAACACTTTCACCCAGTTCTCCTCTGAATCATTCAGATGTTCATTGGCAAACTTCAGACGGGCCTGTATACAGTGGGGAAAAAAAGTATTTAGTCAGCCACCAATTGTGCAAGTTCTCCCACTTAAAAAGATGAGAGAGGCCTGTAATTTTCATCATAGGTACACGTCAACTATGACAGACAAATTGAGGGAAAAAAATCCAGAAACTCACATTGTAGGATTTTTTATGAATTTATTTGCAAATTATGGTGGAAAATAAGTATTTGGTCACCTACAAACAAGCAAGATTTCTGGCTCTCACAGACCTATAACTTCTTCTTTAAGAGGCTCCTCTGTCCTCCACTCGTTACCTGTATTAATGGCACCTGTTTGAAGTTGTTATCAGTATAAAAGACACCTGTCCACAACCTCAAACAGTCACACTCCAAACTCCACTATGGCCAAGACCAAAGAGCTGTCAAAGGACACCAGAAACAAATTTGTAGACCTGCACCAGGCTGGGAAGACTGAATCTGCAATAGGTAAGCAGCTTGGTTTGAAGAAATCAACTGTGGGAGCAATTATTAGGAAATGGAAGACATACAAGACCACTGATAATCTCCCTCGATCTGGGGCTCCATGCAAGATCTCAACCGATGGGGTCAAAATGATCACAAGAACGGTGAGCAAAAATCCCAGAACCACACGGGGGGACCTAGTGAATGACCTGCAGAGAGCTGGGACCAAAGTAACAAAGCCTACCATCAGTAACACACTACGCCGCCAGGGACTCAAATCCTGCAGTGCCAGACGTGTCCCCCTGCTTACGCCAGGCCCGTCTGAAGTTTGCTAGAGTGCATTTGGATGATCCAGAAGAGGATTGGGAGAATGTCATATGGTCAGATGAAACCAAAATAGAACTTTTTGGTAAAAACTCAACTCGTCGTGTTTGGAGGACAAAGAATGCTGAGTTGCATCCAAAGAACACCATACCTACTGTGAAGCATGGGGGTGGAAACATCATGCTTTGGGGCTGTTTTTCTGCAAAGAGACCAGGACGACTGATCCGTGTAAAGGAAAGAATGAATGGGGCCATGTATCGTGAAATTTTGAGTGAAAACCTCCTTCCATCAGCAAGGGCATTGAAGATGAAACGTGGCTGGGTCTTTCAGCATGACAATGATCCCAAATACATCGCCCGGGCAACGAAGGAGTGGCTTCGTAAGAAGCATTTCAAGGTCCTGGAGTGGCCTAGCCAGTCTCCAGATCTCAACCCCATAGAAAATCTTTGGGGGGAGTTGAAAGTCCGTGTTGCCCAGCGACAGCCCCAAAACATCACTGCTCTAGAGGAGATCTGCATGGAGGAATGGGCCAAAATACCAGCAACAGTGTGTGAAAACCTTGTGAAGACTTACAGAAAACGTTTGACCTGTGTCATTGCCAACAAAGGGTATATAACAAAGTATTGAGAAACTTTTGTTATTGACCAAATACTTATTTTCCACCATAATTTGCAAATAAATTCATTAAAAATCCTACAATGTGATTTTCTGGAATTTCTTTTCTGATTTTGTCTGTCATAGTTGACGTGTACCTATGATGAAAATTACAGGCCTCTCTCATCTTTTTAAGTGGGAGAACATGCACAATGGGTGGCTGACTAAATACTTTTTTTCCCCACTGTATGTGCTTTCTTGAGCAGGGGGACCTTGCAGGCGCTGCAGGATTTCAGTCCTTCACGGCGTAGTGTGTTACCAATTGTTTTCTTGGTGAGCATGGTCCCAGCTGCCTTGAGATCATTGACAAGATCCTCCCGTGTAGTGCTGGGCTGATTCCTCACCGTTCTCATGATCATTGCAACTCCACGAGGTGAGATCTTGCATGGAGCCCCAGGTCGAGGGAGATTGAGAGGTCTTTTGTGTTTCTTCCATTTGCGAATAATCGGACCAACTGTTGTCACCTTCTCAGTGGCGGCTCCTGAAAAAATTCTCAGGGGGGGCAATTTTTCTGATGATTTAGGTGACCTACACACATTTTAAAAAAGATATGTCCAGCAACAACATGAAGACAGGGGCAGCATATAAGTCAATACCAGAAGCATTTATTGACTGATCTCAAAAGTGTTGGCTTACAAAAGCAAAATAAGTTATCACAGTAAAAATAATCAAGGGTGTTCTTTCACATTCCTCAACACTGCATAAACAATATGCATTTCCATAAAACACCTCATCTAATTGTGCCACAAAGTTGACAAGTCCAAGAAAAATACCAGGGTTGGTGGAGCCCTCAGTTTCATCTTTGCCTCGCAAAGCTAACTCAAACACTCCGCAAAACTTCACACACTGGATTAGCCGGCTGAGGATGTGGCGGTTCTTGCTAACCTCATCGTTGTGGCGGCAGACAGCTAGCCTGTATCCCTCATCCAGCTGAGTGGCAATGTTCACTCTCCCCAAAGCAGACAATCTCAAACAGCTATCCATGTGGGTCTTTGACAGCTCATGTTTCTTAATCTTTTCTGAAAGATGGTGCATGTCCATTACACCAGTCGCTGTCCAAGCGGTGCTGTCTGCCGTGCCGCCTTCAGGGTGAAAGAGTAAGCAGGGGTAGCAGAAGATTGCATTAGCTACATCGCAGCCTGCTAGCCAGGTTTTTCGTTCGTACCAATTTTTGGAAAATCCTCGGGTGTAGGACTTTCCCCCTTTAGTAGAAACCTGTTGAATTATTAAATTTGGTCTGGGAGGTCCTAATTGTTTCGTTGCCAATTTATCTTGATTTGTTCGCCGACAAAAAGGAACTTCTTTCAAAGAGACAATCGAGTTGCACTGAACGCTAGCCATCTTGACAGTAGTACGTGAATTGATTGACGCTGCTACCCGCTCTTTTCTTAGTTACGTTCATGGTTATGTTACGTATGACGAAAGCGCGTAAGTGCAAGCCCTCCCGGAACCCATAGAGATTGTATTGAAAGCTCTGATATTTGAAAAAAAAAAAATATTTACATGAGAGTCTTCTGGGGCGATTTTCAACCTGACTGAAATCGCCCCAAAAGGGGCGGGGCCATTTGAAGCACGACTTTAGCCTGATTGGACATTTAGTGGCAGATCAGACGTCTAGATTAGAACACTGATAACTACTGTTGCCGTGATATAATTGATTAGAAAAAAAATCCCTTCCTTTTCCCGTTTGGCAGTGCGTCGCCCATATCGCCCTAATGAACACACCGCCCCTGCACCTTCTCACCAAGCTGCTTGGCGATGGTCTTGTAGCCCATTCCAGCCTTGTGTAGGTCTACAATCTTGTCCCTGACATCCTTGGAGAGCTCTTTGGTCTTGGCCATGGTGGAGAGTTTGGAATCTGATTGATTGATTGCTTCTGTGGATAGGTGTCTTTTATACAGGTAACAAGCTGAGATTAGGAGCACTCCCCTTAAGGGTGTGCTCCTAATCTCAGCTTGTTACCTGTATAAAAGACACCTGGGAGCCAGAAATCTTTCTGATTGAGAGGGGGTCAAATACTTATTTCCCTCATTAAAATGCAAATCAATTTATAACATTTTTGACATGCGTTTTTCTGTATTTATTTGTTGTTATTCTGTCTCTCACTGTTCAAATAAACCTACCATTAAAATTATAGACTGATCATTTCTTTGTCAGTGGGCAAACGTACAAAATCAGCCGGGGATCAAATACTTTTTTCCCTCACTGTACCAGAATGTGGGCAACGTGGACCTGCGGAAAAATGGCCAGCTGGTGCTGCATTCCTTCACCACCCAGCAGACCGGCTACATCACGGCTACTGGAGGCACACTGCTGCAGCTCAACAAGGGGGACAAAATCTGGCTGTCAGCTAACTACGGTGGCAACGGCATTACTTCCGACAGCTTCTTCTCAGGGCACCTGATTTCCACTGTCTAGAGTCCACTCTGACCCACAGGTTACAACTAAGCTACCTTTTCTGTCTTTTAAAATGATTTTTTTTATTAAATTTTTTATTATCTTTTAACATATGATAAGCTTTATCCCATCACCAAGGAGAAGAGAGGTCAATGCACTGGTTTGTTATACTTGCACTGATAGGAGAGACAGAGGAGTGGGAGAGTCATTGCATTACATCTGTCTCTCTTCCTCTTTTTTCACCAATGCAACACCCATGTCTAAACACATCTTCTTTTTCTGTGTGCGGACCCCAACCCACTACCCCCGAAACCCAATTATTGTTGTTAGATTAAATTAATCTTACCACATCAGGGAAATGCATTGGGATAGCATTTTGATTGTTAATTGTATTTTATGTCATTTGACTTTCTTCTAATTGTTGGTATGCATTTTCCTTCTTATGAACTTGTTGGCTAATTAAATTATATCGTTTTGATCTTGCACATTAAACACTTAGAACAAAACCTAAGAACTTAATATATGCTAATGATGAGTTTTTGGGTGATGGTAAAATTATGACAAATAAGAAAAAACTCAACTATGCTCAGGGAGCCTTCCTGACGTTGGGTCAGCAAAACATTCGTTCTAAAGCTAATGTTTTAATATTTATGCAGTAAACTTTGGATGTAAATTATTATAAAGAATATACTTTGATAAACAATTATTTTCTGACTGATTCATCTTTCGAATGATAAATAATGAATAGCATAAAATTACACATGCACATGCTCCTCTGTGTCTTCTGTGTCACCTCAAGTCAAGACCTCACCTCACATTTTTGAGTAGCGAGACACAGCACACAGCATGTTCACTTCACGCTCAACCAAAGGGGGGCGTGAGGGTTCCACCTCGATTCGCACCCTTCTCAGATGTAGGGTTTTTCACAAAATACGAATGACACAAAATCTACTTGGATTGTTTAGATATTGGCCTATATGCTACACTGCAGTATGTGGCTTATCACACATATAATTAATAATATATGTGTAATGTTAGTTTTATGAAGATTGGCCTATAAGAGTCAACATGTGCCAAAGAAAAGTACAATAAACTCAACATAACTTTTTGTGCATAGGCCTAGGCTAGGCTGTGTGTGTTTTCGTTGGGGAAAATGAGTAACAGAAATATTGGCTATAAAAATAACATATAGGCTACAGAAAACAGAACACTAAGATTTTGTCAACTTTAATAGGCCTACTTATCTTATAACCAATCATCAACAATATTAAAGCAAACGAATCAGTCAAACTAACATCTTTCATAGCCTAAACATTTTCATTAAACATTTTGTTTTATTAGTGAAGTAAAGATTAGGATTTAGAAAATCAATAGAATGATAGCTGCAGGCACAGGATAACAGAAAATGTGGTCTGACTGGGCACCATTTTAATTATTGTCGTCTATTTCCCCCGGGGACTCACCTTACTTAAATAAGTAAACAAATAAATGAGCGCAATATATAGCGTTCGATACGGACGTGGTGGGCCGCATTATCCCGTTGTTCTGTCCACTAAGCGTTCGATACGGACGTGGTGGGCCGCATTATCCCGTTGTTCTCTCCGCAGTGGACAGAGGGGACGGGAACCAGCTGCTGCGTCTTGGGCCTTCACCCCCCCCCCCAACCCCCCAGTGGCGGCTGGGACTCCCGTGGGAGCGAGGGAATGCCTGGAGATGGCGAGTGGCACACGATACCCCATTGTTCAGTCTAGCAGTCACTGATTCCTCGCCCCACCCCCAATAAACACTCACTGACCATCTCAGCGAGTTAAATTGATTAGAAAGCCGTTTGTGTCGCTCAAGGTTGTTTGACTAATCCCCATTTTCGCCTGGGTATCTGCTCCAATATTACGAAGCGAACAAATCCATTTTTCATTCGATATGGCTACATGGCTATGGGCTAGGCCTACCCATCTGTACAGTGAAACAGGTTGTTTCCCTTTAAAGCTCGATGACTGGTCCATAAATTCTCCACGTGCAAACAGGACTCGTGTCAATAAAATCTAGTCAGTTAATGTCAGCCAACTATTTGCGGTGTTCTGTATAGCCAGTATACTCAGTGTGCAATGCTTGCACTGAAGAAGTTCTGAGAGGGTCCTTCAAGCGCTTCTGAGGAGACTACGTTTTTTTAAAGCCAATAGTCCTGCATGAGTCCTCAAGTCAAGAAGGTCTCTCTCCTGCCAGTAGATTCCTCCATTCACCTGAGAGGAAGTGGGTACATAAAGCAGGTAGGCTATAGTTGACAATAAGTAGCCTAAGCCGGCCCTAGACAGCCCTCAATGCCAAAATCCGTAAAAGCAAGTGCGGTTATTTTAGTGATGGGTGGTAGTAGTGTTATGTGGAGGAATTAACAAGATGTGTTTTAGGCCTATCTACTAAATTATCTGTAGTTGGTTTCGGGTTAAGCAGAGCTGTCAATCAAACAAGTCGGGATGCGGGGAAGAAAAGTGTGGAACGAACACAGGGAGGGAGCGGAGAACCAGTGGCAAGGATTCCGCGAGAATGTTCTTATAATTGGGGGAACATCTGACTCTGTCGCGCGCTGGCAGATGGTCGGTTGAGGCGGGATCGAAGGGGGGAGATTTACATTCATTGTTCAGGGGCTCGAGCTCAATCCAGAGACAATAGCCTCGGCAAGGAGCAAGGAATGAAAAAACTTTCCTTTTCAGATACAGAAGGATGGATAAAGAAACAACGGGAATTAATTAAAAACACGTTTCTGTAAATTAAAACGCATAAAAACGTTTGATCTGGCAGCTATTCTAGCATACCGATCAACATACCGATCAACAGGCATATAGAAACAGCAGTTTGTCAGCAACTTTTATGTAAATCATTTTTCATTTTATGGTGCAAATAACCTGAGTAAAACGCGTAATACACACATAGCCCGTGACAAACTGCAAATGTATCCGTTTTTCTGCACAGGCTCTTCAGTGACACCCTCATGGGAACTGAGGTCTAACTTTCCAACTGTAGAATATTTTTTATAATAAGGTTGAACGCATTTATAACTGAAATTTGGTTTAATCAAATGAACACAGGTTCACATCCTATCTAAGCATGATATCTGATTCCTCCATTATGGGACATTTTAGAACTGTGCCCCAAATATATATTGATGATATATTTAGCAAATAGAATAAATAGACTAGGCTACACATAAAACCACATTATTTTTCATGGATGTCTTGTCATTGCATTGCCTGTTGTTATAGCGGATATCATTATTTATCCTGCGTTCATTTGAAACTTATCAAACATATACTGTATCTGTAACATTTTAGACAGAACTTCCAACCGTGTTTCCTCAGACTGACAGCACTGTCTTGGATGAGCAGCACGAACGTATAGCAGTGAAGATTAATAGAACAACCAGACTACAATTGTTTAGCACTAATATCCTTAAGTCGGATCACAGCTTTCAATCACTGCGCATTGTTCAGGGAGAGCAGACAGGTGCACTCTTGTGTTTAATATTGATGACTCGACTGAAAATGCCAAATAAGATATTCAGGATTGTTGCTTTAGACTTTTAATCCAGTTATCCTATTAAAATACAATTTGCAACTGAATGCCTAATGCAAGCAATAGAACAGAAACGTTGGCCACATTTAGAATATGAAACTAAATAGGCCAATAGTTTTGCTGGAGATGCAATATGTATGTGTAGGCTATAATGTTACATTTTACATTTTACATTTTCAAGTAACCTAGACTTAAATGCTTTCTCAATTTTACAATCATTAGACAACTTTGCTGCAACATGGAGGCTTAGCTGTCTTTTTGCAGGCCTTTCATGCATATTTCTGGGACAAATATGGCAGCAGTAGGCCTTTATTCAAATGGCATGTTTTGTCTATGTTATTTATTTAGGTTTGTTCCCTCCAGCGGTAATTGCACGCAACACTGAGAGATTACAAAGACATAATAAACAAGAAATCGAATAATAATAATTTATTAAGTAGCCTAATAAATAGGCCTATATTATAAACAGGTGATTGATGTCACTGCAGTATAGGCTAAATAAAATGTTTAGGCCCTAGATGAAAACCTATCGTGTTCACTGAAACTATCAATTTGTGATTTCAACATAGAATAATAATATAATTTAATGTTAAAACACAAAATCACACAATTAACACAATGTAACCTGATAGTTCGATAGTCCATTTAAAAAAACAAAATATCAGCTCTTTCTCCTGAAAATAATAAAGGTCTATTGTCTGAATATGTGACCAAGTGTCAAAAAGTTATAATGAAAGGATAAAAATACATATGTTATTAGCCTTAATTGTTGTTCATATTATGCCACTTTCATCTGAGATCTGAAGCACTCTTTGAGTAGGACTTCACTAGAGAACTGTTTGAAGAGACAACTGAGCTATTGGCTAGCTGGATGCTCAAATTGGCAGAAGTCCAAATAACGGAGGCATTTTACACCAATGAGAGCATCCATTTCAACAATCGGTCCCCCATATGGCAGTGTAGCCCCTCCTCCCGACCCTATCCCGGCAGAGGAACTCATACATGCTCCAGGACAGTGAAGTGGAGCATTATTGCCAGCTCTTTTGCCCATACATTCAAAGCGCAAAAGGTCTCTTCTGCGCTGTTTGAGAAAGATTTTGTCACCTGATTTTAGAGCTGTCGTGTGGCAGTGTGTGTGCATGCATATCTGTGGAATAGACTACGGTGTGCATGAGCCTGTCGAGGAGTGCGCGCGTGTCCACCAAACAGGTGACCTTTGTTTATGGTCGAACCGACTTTTGACGTTACTTTTCCCCTGTTCGTGGACAATGATTGCAGTCCACGGGAAGATACATCTATTGCCTGTTTTCCTTCGAGAGCACTTTTGAAGACAGAATAGTGGACAAGCAGTAGCCTATTATTTACCTTGGGCAGCTCTGAAGCCTCAATCATCATCCAAGTGCTCGATAACAGCATCCTGGAACGGACCTCCCAGTTCTATTTTGCCAAAGTGATATTGCTCTCTTGTTTACTCTGAAAATAACACCATTGGATTTGTGTATTAAATGTACGGGATCCAGGAGCACCTGATAAGAGACGTCAGCGGATTAAAAGAAATAACTCTCGGAGAGGAGATGGATCCAGTCCGGTCCTGGGTGCGTAATGTCGGTGTTGTGGATGCTAACGTAGCGGCGCAAAGGTACAGTATACCCTCATGTTCTCAAGTCCTGTGGTATTTTGATGAAATGCACGAGTCAATCTTTCTTATTGGCAACTTAGCACAACATCAAACACTAACGCACATTTAAGAAATTGCATTAATGGTTAGGCTAGATGTCTTTAAGCATGCAAGAGGAGTCGATGTATTATGCACATGGTTTTAACCATTTCAATATCAAAAAGCATATTATGCTCGGGAAAAAATATAAACGTAAATGACAAATAGCGCACAGATCACCATATTATAGCCTATAGGCTAGCCCATAAAAGTGACCCGAGGTGCAAAGCAGTCAAATATAAAGTATTGTTGTTGATTATGCTCATGGCTCTTGTGTGATACTCATTGACCCTAAACTTCTCCAGACTTGAGAGGAAACGAAAAAGCAACAGGTCGTCTTTGGGAGTAAAGCTGACAATTGTGTAGAAAAACATATCTCAAGCATCCCTGGCTTTCTGTGCGCTGAGAGTGCGGCTTGTCCGAGGTGCGCGCTGTCAATAGCGAGTGGGGCTGGTGTCACGAGCAGCTTGAAAGGGATACAACAAAACACAACAATAAAACAAAAACGCGTTCTGTCACAAAAGCGACCGCCCGGGCCGGAATAATGTTATTTTAGTGAGGATCCCACCTCATGGCTATTGATTTGTAGGCCTATAGGACGCGCATGAAACGCATTTGACGGTTGGAATCTGTTATTTTATCCATGTTGAATTATCCACTAAAGATTGTATATCTCCATTCAGAAATTCTCTTATCGCCATATATTAGGCCTAGGTCTATAGCTGCTTAGGCCTATAGCCAATATGACGGTTTAAGTTGATGATAATAGTCCCAGTAATAATAATAGGCCTAATCATAATAACAATAATAATAATGATAGTAATAATAATAATAATAATACAATTATATTGGCTTGTCTACTGAAATATTAATCAGTAGACAAAGTCATATTCATATTGTCATCTATTTATCAAAAAATCAATTAGCCTACCATTATCTTATGCAAAAGTTTTTCAAAACATTGACATTGTTTTTCATACTGGTTTAAAAGGAACTTTTGTGAATTCTTAATGTTAAAATACTCCAGTAGGCTACATCTACAGGCTGTTATGATAGCCTTGGTATAAATTATATAGCCTTCTTTTCAAAGGAGAACATGCAAAAAAGTAAGCATGCAGACAATGTAGCCTAACATTAATTTCAAAGGTGTATTTGCCCAAATAAACTGTTTTTGGGATACAGAAGAACAAACTTTTGTGATAATTTGCAAGCCTCCGTTATTCGATTAAATAAGGTTATGGCTGATGTTTCAAATGAGCGTTAATCAGATCAAGTCTTTTCATATTTTACATGTATTTTATGCAATCGAAACACGTCTCGAGTCATATGTGGAATGAAACCCTTTTCAATTCTCAATTGTCACATCACGAATATCTACTTTTCATAATAATCACCAGATAGCAGATATAATATAACTTTCACTGAAAGTTCTCTGATGCTTCTCAACCTGTAGGAAAATTAGAATTGTCCGTCTTCTTCCAAGCCTAAATTATGCAGCGATAAAATAATGGATAAATGTAGGCTAGACACAATTATCCTATCAAAAGTACATGTTCATTTATGTCTGACTTTGGAACTTTTTGTGCTTGCACTTTTCAAAGGTCAAGGATGAAGGTCAGCATGAGTGCCAAAATAACTTTCACAGTAGGCCTATAAGAAAAACGTTTTAAACTTCTTCATATTTTGCAGCGTCGAAAAAAACACAGCCTTTATCTCACCCAGTGTAAGAGGCGAAGCATCAATAAACATTCAGTGTTAATTAAGCTGCAGGCCTTCACGCTTGGAGCAAGTCAAACTTTGACCCACCCATTAATTACATAAACACCCCGCCAGCACTTCATGCTATTTTTTGGGACATATCAACATTTTGATTTCATTCCACCATCGATAATTCGCGATTTCCTAGGTAGGTCATGCATAGAAAGTTAGTCATTGAACCCAATGCTTTAAAACGTTTTGTAAGCGATTCTTGAATTGTTGCTAACAAGTAATCTAAATTACAGTTTGTGAAAATTAAGCATAAGATGATTGCATCATACAGATAGGCTACATAGGCTATTTATTTTTAAAATCTTAATTAAGCATCTAAATCATATAGGCTATAATTGCTTTAATGGTTTTTCCACATTGTTGGTTCAGTGAGTATTTTTCAAAACTAATTTACTCCATATTGCCATTCCTGACTAATTCATGTTACAATGTTGAATCTAGAAATGAATGATTCTGTTGTAGTCTATACGTTTTACCTTAATAAACAGTGATTGGAGTTGTAAGATGTTTTGCTATGTGTGACTGAGGATTGTGATGTAGTGTGAGTGAATTTCCCTCTCCTCTCCTCTCCCATCCTTTCCTTTCCTTTCCTCTCCTCGCCTCTCCTCTCCACAGTGGTGTAGCTCTCTCCAGGGCCCACTTTGAGAAGCAGCCCCCTTCTAACCTGCGCAAGTCCAACTTCTTCCATTTTGTCCTGGCACTCTATGACAGACACGGACAGCCTGTAGAGGTGGAGAGGACTTCCTTCGTGGACTTTGTGGAGCAGGACAAGGTGTGTGTGTTTGTTTGTTTGTTTGTTTGTTGACTGTGAGTATATTTGTGTGTATTTCTCCATAGATTTCTCTTTATTATGCAGGTCCTCTGTGTTCGTTATTATTGAAATCAAATCATAAGTCTCAAGTTAGTTTCCATAAGTTTACCAGAGAGAGTGAAGAAAAGGTGGTAGCTATTACCATAGAAATAGAATGAAGATTTCTATGGTTATTACAGCAATACAGCAAAGCTTTAAACTGACCACATTTACACAACCCGTAGCAGGACATTTCTATGCAGCCAGTAGTTTACAAGCGTTTAACTTGACCTTCCACATCCCCCAATAAAGCTGAGCATATTGAACAGCTGACAGCTCACTCCCAATGAGCTGATGATGAGCGATTGAAAAAGAATACCTAATGACTAATTAGCAGCCTTACTCATTAGTGGGACATCACTACTTTTAAAAATGCAAATTACACTCACCTCTGTTAAGTTTTACCCTGACTACATCATCAAAGTCTCTTTTCCTCCCACTCCCATGTACTAAATACTGCTGAGGGGAGAGAAGTAAATTCCTCAGGTCAGACATTGGAGAGAGCGAGAGAGAGCGAGAGAGAGAGAGAGAGAGGAGAGAGAGAGAGAGAGAGAGAGAGAGAGAGAGAGATAGAGCGAGAGCTATAGAGAGAGAGAGAGAGAGAGAGAGAGAGAGAGAGAGAGAGAGAGAGAGAGACGGTTTTGTTTTACACACAGAGAGAGTGTCAGTGCTAATGCCAGGGCTGAGGGCTGTCAGTGTTTCCCCTAGCGCCACACACACAGCCAGGGCAAGGCAGAATGATATGACGGCTGCAGAGGAGTTCATTTTCTGCATGGTTAACCTGGCATCTGGTTTTGTTGTTATTCAGAGGTGGGAGGGTGATAAGGGGAAATAAATGTTCCTCTGTGTATATTTACTAAACATTATGTTCCAGTCTCTACTGTATACTGTCGATTTCTCTCTTTCTTACTTTCACTCATCTCTCTTAATATGTTCATTTCTTTCCTTCCTCTCTTATCTCTGTCTTCCTCTCTTTCTGCTGAGAGATGATGGCTCCCTGGGTTATTGGACCAGAAAGCATTCCTTTGAGACCAGTTAGGGAGAGACTGGAAAGGGAGAGAAAGAGAAAGTGAGGAATAAAATGAAAGAGGGTGGTGTAGAGCCAAGGGGAAGAAAGGATGGAGGAAGGGAAGTTTCTCTGTCAAGGTCGACTGCTGCTCACTCTCGCAGCACTATAGTAGTTTCCACTCACTGAAATATCCAGAGTAGGCCTACACACACACACACAGACACATTATGCACATGCACACATACGTACGCACACACAAGCTTGTGCGCACATTCACTGTTGCATAGCATACATGATAATGGGTACACTATATTGTATTTGATCATACAGATCCCACAGCTTTAGGATTTCACATCAGATGTGCTGCAGTTCAACTTCTAAAAAGAGGAGCTAACTCAAAGTTAAGTATCCAGCTCTGGAGCCCAGTGCAGGGTCCCATCTGGGGGTTTGAGCCTACAACCCTGGGATCCCCACACCACTACACCACTCCCAGGGAAGGATGAAGTGCACGATTAGAGGAGCCTGACTGTGCTGAACTGTGCTTAGTGATGCCCAGCTGTACTTAACTGTGCTTAACTGTGCCCTCACCGGTGCTATAACTGCATGACTGCATCTGTTTGTTTGTCTGTTTGTCGTCTCATTCCAAGGAGCAGACGGGAGAAAAGACCAACAACGGCACGCACTACAAGCTACAGCTCCTCTACAGCAATGGTGAGTAGACCTTCAAATCAACAGCCATAGCATCGGATAGCAGCATGTCCCATTCATGTCAGTGTGAGAACGTGGGCACTCTGGTATTGATATGTTCCGTGTGGTTTCATTTCTCTTGATTCTTTGTCCCAGAGACTTTTTAGTGTCTGACCACTTCAGAGTGGGAGGAGGAACAGGTTGTCCTGAGCCAGACCACTGACTAAACACCATTCCGCATCTCAATGGTATGGTCATGGAATGGACATGATATGGACATAACCACTTCTCATGCATTCCAAATATGAGAGGAAAAGCCCACTTGAAACCCCCACCCCTCTCTCCCAGTACTCTTCTCCCTGCCTCTTCCTCTGCCTCTCATCCCACCTCACCTCTCTTCTAAATATCTATCCACTCATCCAATTGCTGAGTTCTTTGAGCCCCAGATTTAGTTGTGTGTGAAGCTGCTTCCTTACCCATAAACAGGGAAACAAAGTACACAGTGCCCCACATGGTGTTACAAAATCAGATAAGGGATATGCAGAGAGATTTTTGGTTCCCATGAGCCTCCACTGCCCCTCCTCTGCCATCGCCGTGACACCCATGGGAGATGAGATAAAAGACATGTACCAGAAAGACCCCCACCACACACACACACACACACACACACACACACACACACACACACACACACACACACACACACACACACACACACACACACACACGACTGCCTCTGCACCCCACTTCCCCTTCCCCCTAGTGATATCAAAGGCCTCCTGATTGAGACTTTGATGAAAGGAACCCGTTTTAAAAAGCAATACTCTGCATAGGCTTCATAAAATAATCCCTCTGATAAAACGTGCTGCTCTTCAGTCGCAAGGCATTACATCGACGGCAGCCTACAAGGATGTAAAACCAGTGGGTTTGAAGCACCCAGAGACCAAAGGTTCAGGTGTTTTCTAAAAGCATGCTGGGAGGCTCTCTGTCAGATCCCAGAGCCCCTAAAGCCCTCCACTGCTCATCATCTGACCTGTATGGATGACCCAGGGAATGGCCATTATGGGAATCAAATAAATGTCCAGTCAAAAACACTCATATCCCATGCCTTCAGCATTAGGTTGTCTTTGTGAGATTAGTCTAGTTTCCTTTAATGATTGTGTATGTGTCTGTGTGCAGGGGTTCGTACGGAACAGGATCTTTATGCACGGCTTATTGACTCCGTCACTAAACAGGTAAGGAGCCCTGTTTGCTTTGACTGGATTTAGCCTGCTGTGGAACTCATGCTTACAGCTTGATTGATTGCACATGAAATCTAATTCCCCCATCACCCGCTCTCCCTCTCTCAGCCCATAGCATATGAGGGACAGAACAAGAATCCTGAAATGTGCCGGGTTCTGCTCACTCACGAGGTTATGTGCAGGTGAGTCACACACACACACACACACACACACACACACACACACACACACACACACACACACACACACACACACACACACACACACACACACACACACACACACACACACACACACACACAAACACACACACACACACACACACACACACACACACACACACACACACACACACACACACACACACACACACACACACACACACACACACACACACACACACACACACACACACACACACACACACACACACACACACAGACAAAGGAAATCATATCCTTAAAAATATCCATCACCCCATGTCTTTTTGTTTTGTCTTGATGTGTCTGCATGTAGTATGCCATTTGAAAATAAGACTGGGGTTGAAGTGAAAGTATAGCCTGTCTGTCTTCAGGCTTCTTACAGTGTGAGCCCCTTGCTGCCTTCTCCTTTAGCCCCTGAGTCCCCCGCCAGATCCTGTTTCTCTCTGGAGCATCCCTCACAGACTTTCTTGAACCTCCACTGAAACATGTTCAGGGTATAATTAACCCCCCCAACCCCCACCCCCATCACCACCCCAGCCCCTTATGTTTTACATGGACAATGGTCCACATAGGAACCCTGTTGAAACATAAGAATTAGAGTAGTTTATCTGATTTCTAACAGAGTGCATGGAAACTATAAGACAGTGTGGCAGCAATGGGTCAGGGTGAAAGAAGAGGGCTGCTGTTATGGTGCTTTTGGAAGACTGGGCTTCCTCACTATGCATGCTGTGTTTTTGGAGGTATGTAGGTAGGAAGAGAGGGACAGAGAGAGAGAGCAAGTGAGTGTTGGGGCAGTGACCCAGGGTTTGAGGGCAGGAGGGGGAAGGAGAGGGGGGTTTGGCAGGGGAAGAGGGGCTAAGACTGAGTGGGCTTTGCCATTGTATAGCCAGCAGATGCCCGAATGTGACTCACAGCTGGCTAATAACAGAGCCGGGGAGGCAGAGGGCAAGCGTCACAGCTGGGGAGTGAGGCCGTCTGACAGGGGGGCGGCGGGGGGGCAGAGGGGGGCAGGGCCAAGCTGGGACACGAGAGGGGTGAAGTGAGGTGTAGGAGTGGCAGATGGTTAGGGGTGGGGGCACTTTTTGTTATGCAGCGGAGGGGACTTGGAGGGGGGGCCGGGGGGCCAGCAGGCTTCACAGACAGGACTGCTGACGAATTGTAGGATGCTGAGTGTGTGGGTGTGTTTGTCTGTGTGTGATTGGGTGGGGGTTGAGTTTGATTTCGAAATCAATGTGACAGATTGCCAGGCTGGCTTTTCACTTCTGAATAATCTCTGTTTGTATGGTCCGTTGTTGTACCTTTTCTCCCCCTTTCTTTTATTATTTTGTCTCTTTTTCCCCTCCTCTCCTTTGGCCCTTTTTGTTTCCCTGGATCAGTGCAGTCTGGAATGGTGGACAGGCCAGTGGAAAATCAGTCCTGTCATGCTGGTTTGTTTCACTCACTGTGTTGTTTTGTTTTCTGGTTGTTCTTTTGGAACACAGTCGCTGTTGTGAGAAGAAAAGCTGTGGAAACCGCAATGAGACGCCCTCTGACCCAGTCATCATTGACAGGTAACAGCACCTGTCATCCGTTCACACAACCCTGACAACGTCAAACACCCCAACTGAGCCTATGTTCCACTGTCTCCCCCTCAACTGTCCCTCTCATGCCTCTAAGATGTTCAGACATACTCAGATGCAGAAATACTCACACAAACATGTGGTTCTTGTGATGACATCTCACAAATCAGCCATTGCTTTTATGGCCGGTAAAGACAGAAGGATGTGTAGGGGTGATGGCGAGGTGCATACATGTCTGCATGTTAAATGTGTGGGCAAGTGTGTACAGTGTGTGTTGTTGTGGGTGTATTTGGGAGCTCACCCTCTAGGTCTGTGTTGCTGTGCAAGATGCCTTTAACCCCCTAGAGTCGATGTCCACACCCCGCGGAAATATAATTAGCATAATACAACAATTCCCATAAGAATCTGTCTGTTTAAACTATTGATATCTGTTTTTTTGCATTGGATGTGTCTCTATCCCCCACAAGCGTCTTGGGACTCGTCTGAAGTCGGTACAGCCGATCTGCAAACTTCTGTCTGTAACAACCGAACAGTTTGGGCTTCACACTAATATGACCCCTCTGTGGAAGGCGAGACTCTCATGAACACGTACATGTTGGTTGTTTTGCTCTAAGACGCCCACAGGCCTCACAAGACTCGTCTGAAGGTCCTGCAGTACCAGTTGAAAAAATGAATGGAAGTATATATGGAGACTGTTTAGTGCCAAATATAAGGGCTTAAATACATGTAAAAATAATAATAATATCTCTTAGATATAGGACAGACACTTCAGAACAAACATCCTTTTGATTTTTGTTCAGGGACTATCTGTTCTTCCATGTAGTCAATCTCTTATTCAATGCATTTGTATGGGCTAATAGCAGTAAGGCCAAATAAAAATGTTCATCAAATATTTTTTAAATATATTATTTTTATATGTCAAGGGGTCTTAAAATTCAAAATCAAATAGCAAAATGATCCTTGGTATGACCATAAAACAATTCCATATAGCTTAGTAGAACCCCCCCCCCCCCCTCCCCCTCCCCCTCCCCCGGCTTAGACAGGGCTTAGACTGTAATGGGTTAATGAAGTGCACCCACCCTGTGAGTGTTTATGACACTGAGGCATGCGTCTGTGATAGTTAGCATCTCTGCAGTATACCTGTCACTGCTAATGTAAGCATCTGTGTTTGTTAGTGACTGCGCTGCTAAAATATGCAGATACTGTATACTCTGTCTCTCTGTCTGTCTGTCTGTCTGTCTGTCTGTCCGCCTCCTTTGCTCTGGTTGGTCAGCACACAGAACACTGTGACCGCCCCTTGCACTTAGTCCGAACTGTCCTACAAAAAAAAACTCTGTACACAGTCCTAACTCCGGCCATATATACTGTAGGAATAAAAAACATTCCTGTCAGAATCATGAAGAGTTAGGGTCTATCATGCAATGTGAGGGTTCACACATATGTATTGTCTGTAGCCTCCCCAACTGACAGCCAGTTATCAGACTTTAGGGAGACAGAGCGTTACCTTAATCGACGTGTGTGAGGGTTTCCACGTCCCAGGGATTTTGGAAGTCACACTGTGTCTGCATGGCATTAACCACTATGATGAATGCTCATAAGCAGACATTCCGTACAATCGTTTTTCTGTGATGTCATCTCTTCAACCTTCATCACATCTTCCTTCCCCTCACTCTTCCTCACTCACTCAATCCCTCCCTCCCCCCTCCATCCATCCCTCCTAAAATACACTCACTTCATACATCTCAAAGATTTCTCTCTCTCTTTCTCTCCTCTGTTCAAGCTGGCTGGCTGTTGACAGTGTGTCTCAGAGGATCTCTGCTGAAGATAGTTTTCATATAACGGAAAATTGGGCTGTTGTCTTTTGGATTTTCCCAGAATCCCTAGGAGCAGCTGTTTTTCTCGTTTAGTGCATTACTTTCCCAACGATCCTTTTCCTCCATCTTCCATGGCTAAACCTCTCCAAAGATTGTTCATAAGTAGTGCAGGGGGCTTGTGAATTGGATGATCTGTATCAGTGTGTGAGCCTGTGCAGGCTGATGGTGGTGCTGTGAGGATGGTTTTAAATGGGATCGTTGACCTACGGTACCCTCTAATCACACTGGGCCCATCCAGACCTGATAGGAGCTTTTCCCTCTTGACAGGCTCATGGATCCCTCTCCTTGGGGACCAGCCTATTAACAGCTATGTAATTTGGGATAAGCTGTTGGAATTTGTTGCACTGTGTCCTTGCAGAAATCCCAAATGTATTTCTTGTGGATTTGTATGTGTGTATGTGTGAGAGAGGGAGAACGTGTCTGTGTGAATATGCCCATATGTACATTGTTTGTGTGTACATAAATTAATGTATGTGTGTGTGTGTATGGATGTGCACAGATGTTTATTTATTTATGCATGTATAGGAAATGGATGCATGTGTAATTGTGTGTATGTGACCCATTGCCTGACCTTTCCCCCCCCCCCGTCACTGCTTGGGGCCTAAATTATTTGTGGGGGTGGAGGGGATGGGTGGAGGTGTGGGTTGTTTCTGAGGCTGCAGTAATCATCCTCCTGCTCCTAGCCCCAACACCTGTTCTCCAATTAACATGCAGCGTGCTGGGGCCCACCCCCCCCTACTGCCACCCCTACTGCCCCCCTACTGCCCCCCCCACTTGCCGCCCCTACTGCCCCCCTACTAGCCACCCCTACGCGCCCCCTACAGCACCCCTACTGCCGACCCCTACTGGCCGCCCCTACTGCCAACCGCCCCACTGCCACCACCTACTACTTCCAGCCCCTACTGCCCTCCTACTACCCCCCCTCCCCTACTGCCCCTGCCCCCCCCTACTGCCACCGCCCCCTACCTGCCCCCTACTGCCCCCCTCACTGCCCCTCCCCTACTGCCCTATGCCCCCCTACTGCCCCCCTACTGCCACACCCCTACTGCCCCCCCTACTGCCCGCCCCTACTGCCCCTACTGCCCCTACTGCCCCCCCTACTGCCACCCCTACTGCCCCCCCTACTGCCACCCTACTGCCACCCCTACTGCCCCAGCCCCTACTGCCCCCCCCTACTGCCACCCCTACTGCCCCCCCTACTGCTACACCCTACTGCCATCCCTACTGTCCCCTGCCTCCTCCAATCGCTCTCATCTCTTTTTTTTCTTTTTTTCTCCCTTTCCCTCCCTCTCCATTTCTCTCTCTTTCTCTCTCTCCATCTCTCTTACTCTTTCTCTCTGGGATTCTCATGATCATACCAGTGTTTCTACCACACTCTTTCTATCATTCTTTCACTTCCTTTCTGCCCTTGTCTTTCTCTCTTCCTCTCCCTCATGTTCCCTCATCCCTCTCTCCCCCTCCTCTTAGCCCATCAAATCTTGTGATAATTAGGCAGTGTCATTAGGACACCTACCCAAGTACAAGGGAGTTTGCAATTCCCCAAACGGCCCAAACCCCTCTTTTCTAATCTCCTTTCCATATTGTCCCCCCCCCCCCCCCCCCCCCCCCCCCCCCCCCCCCCCCCACAGTCCCCTCCTGCTACTCCGCTCCCTCCTTCGCCCTAATCCTGATTTGAGTGAAAGGGGAGAGAGGAGATCACAGCTGATCCATAGGGAAGGATGGAGGGATGGAGGAGTGGTGGGGGTAGGAGGCTTGGCGGTATAGGGGGTTAGTCAGAATGGGGAGATTACTCTTTAAGACACCCTTACTCGTATTCAGAGTAAAGCACTGATCAGGTCATACTGCTTGCAGCGCTTACTAGTCTTGTCATTGTTGAATATGTCACTCACTCACTAACTATCTTATGCAATTGAGGGGGACCTCTTTGTTTTGATGATGTCAATTATCTTTGATTGATTAATTGACTGATTGATTGACTTGCCAATTTCAAATCTTAACGGATTACATTCACACGTGCCCTGTTGCTGAATGACTCTCTTGTGATTAAATGATCTATTTCAAAGAGAACTCACTGTATGGCTGTAGCATAGCACTCCATACTCCATTCTCTGATATGTTCCGTTTATTTTTACAAGCCTTGCTGTCACAGCTTTTGCATTGTCTGGCTTTGATATTTTCTCAGCGCTTGTCTAACTTACATATACCAGAACACATCCCTGTGTGTGTCCTTCCCTCCTCCAACCTAAGGAGTTCTACTCTACCCTCTACTCGGAGACAGACAGGTCAGTTAACAGTGGCATTACTGCCAGATGACCCCTGACCTTTAGGGAACTATATGAGTGCTAGCCTCTGTATTTATAGAGGAGCATGCTTTACAACAGAGACAGACAGACAGTCAGTATTAGTGCTAGTGTTTGTAGGAATGGGAAGTTTGGATTGGTTAGTGGGAGGGGGCAGGGTTGGAGTGTATGAGTGTGGTTTTATATTTGGCTAGGACCTTGGAATCAATAGATGGTCATAAGGAAAGCATGAAGGATCCATCATAAGGCAGGAGAGAGGAGGCAGGGGAGGAGAGGGGAGGAGAAAGTCCGGAGAGGGGATCAATGGCAAGCACTATCTCACTAATTGATCGTGTTTTCAGGAGGGGTGTTTTTTAACAAGCCAGCACTCTGAGGAAAGAGGAATAATCGTTGGGAATTTTCCAATTTTGTCAGTATCGCTTTTCCCTTCCCCCTTTCAAAACAACAAGCCATTTCACAAAGACTGGATGCAAGGGAGAGATACGTTAGTTTTCCTTTCTGTCAATGAGAACATACAAAATCCTCCTCAGCAAGTTTGTTTTCTCATCAATTAGACCAGATAAATCCTTTCCTATATGTTAACTGTTAAAAAATACTTATTATAGGCAGCAGTAATGGTTATGGTCAAGCCCACTTTTAGAAATGTGATTAGAGCTCCCTTGCGAAGACTTCAAATAGTCGACCCTAAGAGGAATCCATTGCTCTTCATCTTGTGTTACGGGCCGTATTGATCTTCTACTCCTGATTCTAGTTATGTGCACGTTTGGTTGTTTTTAACTGGCCGTCACATAGCAGTGAATGAAAGTGTGCACACAGTTGCT